AGGCTGCTGGGTGTAAGAGGGGACATGGGGCTGCTGTGTGAGAAGGGGGCAGGGACTGCTGGGTGAGAGGTGGGGACAGTGGCAGCTAGGTGAGAGGTGGGGACAGTGGCTGCTGGGTGAGAGGTGGAGAGGTGGAGACAGTGCTGCAGCGTATAAGAGGGGACATGTTGCCGCAGGATAAGAGTGGGGCAGGGGCTGCCGTGTAAGAAAGACAGGGGCTGCAGGGTAAGAGGTAGGCATGGGCTGCACGGTAAGAGGGGGCCAGGGGCTACAGGGTGGGAGGGGGCAGGGGCTGCAGGGGGAGAGGGGGCAGGGGCTGCCAGGTGAGAGGAGGGCAGGGGCTTCAGGGTGAGAGGAGGGCAGGGGCTTCACGGTGACAGGAGCTGCAGGGTGAGAGAGGAGCAGGGGCTGCAGGATATAAAAGATGGAGGGGTAGGGACTGCATGATTATGGGGGGACAGGGGCTGCAGGGTGAGAGGGGGACAGGGGCTCCAGTGTGTGAAAGGGGACATGGGGCTTCTGGGTGTGAGGGTAGCAGGGACTACAGGGTGTAAAAGAGGGAGGGGCAGGGACTGCAGGGTAAGAGGGGGGCTGGGTAAGAGGGGGACAGTAGCTGCAGAGTGAGAGGGGGACAGGGGCTGCAGAGTGAGAGGGGAAGACAGGGGCTGCAGGTTGAGAGGGGACATGGGTCTTCTGGGTGAGAGGGGGGGCAGGGGCTGCAGGGTGTGAAGGAGGGAGAGGCAGAGACTGCTGGGTGAAGAAGGGGGACATGGGCCAAAAAAAGAAAAAAAACTGACATACTCCCCCATCCCTCTTCTTTACCTTGATCCTTGGCAGGAGAGGATGCTGGGAAGGAATTATTTTCTCTGGTGGTCCAGTGGAAGAAGCATCTGGTCTACACCCCTTGACAGGTGTAGACCATGTGCACAGGGCCTGCGCTGTGAATCAGTGTGCAGTCTGGTGAGAGAGATCTTTGATCTCCCCACCGCATAGAGCTCCCACTATGGGCCGGAGGTTAGGCAACACCAGCTCTAAAGGGGCTGGCTGGGGAGATCCTTTGATCTCTCCTGTCAGCCGAGGCCCACCAGGAATTAGCCCGGTTTGCCCGATGGCCAGTCTGGGCCTGTCTGACACTATCCAAGAGCCCAAACTAGCAACAAATATTGACAAGGTCTGCACCCAGCAGATGTGCAGACCAGAACAGCCCACTACTGGACCACCAGAAATCTCATATGGTCTGGTACGATGGAGGTCAATGGGGGGGGGGACACCATGAGTGAGTGCATTGGGTGACTACAACGCATGTGATGCCACTGCTTGACTGTTATTATTTCAATATTTTGCAATGCTGTCTTCCTCTCTCATTTCTGCTGCCATCTATTTCTTTTAACATGCTACTGTCAAAAAACCTTTAAACTTGCTTTGTCTAACTGCTGCCCTATCTCCCTATTTCCTTTCATCGGTTTGGAAATCTAATATATTGAGCTGGTAACAACTAATGTTATTTATGTTTTACAAAATGGAATGTATCTGTTATGAGGTTTGCAGTTTCCTCCAACACTCTTATTGATACCTAGAGAATATGCTGAAAATTATGTCATGATTGTGGGCTAATTTACATTGAGTCATTTTCAAAAAATACCCTATTCTGAAGGTGTAGACCTCTCAGACATAAGTAATCTGTTCTAATAATATTCTGACATCACTCATTGGCATTACATTGGGCTATAACATTTTGGATGTCCTAAAATACATACTGTCCTGTCGTCTAGGGTTGTCATTGGCTCAAGATAAGAGGTGAAGCTCTTTATAAGTACAGAGTTACATTATTCACTCCGTTCCTATCAGTTGCTTCACAATGGGAGGGCCTGGTAGCCCCAAAACTCTTTGCCCTGACAGGCTCCACTGCCCTCCTTGCTAGTCTTACCTAGGAGTTAGACGGGACTGGTGTCAATACAGTGGAAAAGATACAGGAAATATAAGACTATTGTCATATGCCCTGTGTGTCTCTGTTCCTGTCCCAGCTGACACTAACAGAGGAGATTAGGCAGAAAGAGCGCTGTCTGTGCCTCTATATGCCTGTCTGTCTGAGTGTGTGTCTGTGTGTGTTTGTGCATGTCTGTATGTGTGTGCACCTGTTTGTGTCTGTAACTGTGAGTTTGTCAAGAGACGTGTTAAGGGGTAGAGTTTGGGAAGAGGCCAGAGGTTTGGCTTTAGGAAGGGAGTTTGACACAGCCTTTTTGCATCATATTTGATGTAGAATTGCCATACTTATGTCATTCTAGCAGCATAAACAAAGCTTGCGGTCATCTGCCAGCTGTTACGTGCCATTCTAGCATTGTTTTGGGCACTTCTCAATCCAATCTTACATCTAATTATGACGCTGAGACATTCTTGATCATTTCTGATGTGGATTCCCCTACATCATTTCTGTGAACTTTTCTTCTTTTGTTTTTGCAGAAATTATGAAAAGTAATCACAACAGACGTTTTAATTAATAATTTTACATAAGACCAGCCATCTCTAAGGTCCAGTAATACTTATCTATCAATTAATTAATTATCCTATCTACCTTGTGAGGTGTGACAGAATTGTGCAAGTTCGACCATGTCCTATATTATTATTGTATACTGACAAAGGAAATCACCAAATGATTTTGGACTCATGCACCAGGTTAACCCTAGCAACATTTCTAGTCCCCATACTCTTTAGCCAACATAAGGAGCATCAGCTAGGAGGTTACCATAGCAACCACAGAGTATGTGCTGTGGTTGCTATGTGTAGAGAGCAGAAGGACTTTTGAAAGGTCTTTTCTGCTCTACCTTGTCAGTCAATTATTCAATGTGAGTCGATGCTATCTAATCTGCTAGCAAAACATATAGATGAAATTCTAAGCTCTGTAAAAAGAGCACAAGTTGTAGGTACCATGACAGGTACCCTTAAAATTGTTGCTGTTTTCCAAATCAGTATACCTACAGGTTAATAGTGTTTAACAGGCCATGACATCTTATCGGGTTAAAGTTTGAAAACATAGAGTTAAATGAGCAGAGACCAACGAATCAGGGTTTGTGTCTTGCGCGCCACGATCTTTAAACTTTACCAGCTAATGCTGTTTAAGGCATATCTGACTAACTCAGTGCATTGTTTCTGCTACTCCTGGCTCTCTGATGAAATATAGCAGATAGATTATTAAAATATTTTTGACCTTTCTGACACTGTTGACATTGTGTGACTCCAAATCAAGAAAAAGACAGTAATTTGGCCATCCTCAAGATTCATTAGAATCATTTTAGTTGTTTGTTCATAGTTCGTAGTATGATTATTATTATTATTATTAATAATAATAATAATTCTCCCTAACTTTAAAGTCTATTGATATTTAGCATGCAAGCCTAAGACAATCCTACAAGGAGGAGGATGTGGTGTCCTTAACTTTATTCCTGATATTTGCTTTAAATCCATGCATTTGAACTATCACCTGATGTCACCTACTAATGGCATCTCCTGTATGATCATTTTAAAATTTCACTTCTTCCCCAGCAATGCATAAAAAGTTAGGATGAATCTTCATTAGCAAGCCAACGAGGTCAAGACAAATAGAGACAGTCCAGCAATTGGATCATAGCTGAAAGGGCATGCATCCCATCCTTTAAGTATGGCTATCATAAAGTCTCCCAGATACATCTTCTATAACATGTATTGACATGGGAGTGGGGAGGAGAGCAGTCTAAGGCGCTGTGGGAATAAAAGTGATGACAGAGGATGAGAGAATAAATATACTGGTTTAAGAAAGACAAATGAGAACAATGGCTCAGAAGGACTACCAAATCTGTCTGACATGAAAAATGAGAGAGTGGAGTTAACAAAACAGATCTATGCCTTATGTAACAAAATGCTTGAGCCAGCCCTGGTTGATTTTAAATGCATCTGCTTAAAACTAACTACATTCATAAACCTAGGTTCTGTTTATGTTGTTGTGATGTCCAACAGCAACTGATGAAGTCCAGTGGCCACAGCAACACAAAGGTTTAAACTGAGTGGATGTTGTCAGGTGGTAAACAATCTGTGGGTAGTTCAAAATGTAATTTCAATTCCAGGCTTGTTCAGCAAGTTATGAGTCTGTTATACCTTGATTAAGTCTCACTATGTTAACTAATAGTGTGGTCTATTTCACATGTAGACTGGAAGAAAGGAAATATTTAAGGTAAAGGAAATATTTTTTACGGTAAGAACAATAAGGTGGAATTAGCTGTCTGATGTTTAAACAACAATTGGATAAATATTTGCAAAAAAAACATAATATTCAGGGATATCATTTTTAATCTGTGGGGTAATAGCTTCTTGATCCAAAGAGATATCTAACTGCCATTTTGGGGTCAAAAAGGATTTTTTTTGCCTATTTTATTGCAAAATTGGAAGCGCTTCAAACTCTTGTTTTGCCTTCTTTTGGATCAACAGCAATAAGACATGTTAGAAAGGCTGAAATTGATAAACACATGTCTCTTTTTCAGCTATGTAACTATGCCAGTCCATCAAAATTATCAGCATCATAGAAACACATAAAAAATAGAGCAATGATTAAGCAACGCTATGATGCTACTTCATTTATAAGTGTGCAGCGCAATTACAGAGCTATACATAATAGTTAAATTGCAGGCTGTTCTGTTGTTATAAATTATAAACTGTGCATTATTGATATTGTGCTATTTATGAATGTATGTCCATTCTAATATCATTTTAATGACACTTGGCATTTTTAAAGTACCATTTTAACAGTACCATTTGTACTGTGTCATACCAGTATCCATACAAAGAGAAAATGTTTAACTGATATCCCTCTAGATTGGAAGCCTATAATCTAACAGCAGCCAACCTCAGCCAGGAAATATACTTTTCTTTAAGTTTGCATAAAAGTCAGATTTGGAACTAATGCCAGTACAGAAGGGTGCTCTGTCCCTATGCAGCCTGCACTGGTGCCTCCCCCTATCTAGAACTGATCCCCGCCCATTAGACTCCAACAAGCAGTCGGTGCGAAGCTCTGACAGACCTACTGCTGAGAGTTCTGTATCTTTGGGCTGCAGAGCAATTGTTGAACAGTGGAAGAATAATAACTGGAGACCAGGAAGCCTAACAGAGCGTCACATGAGCTGACACTGTGGACAAGATGTTCTGTACCAAGCTGAAAGACTTAAAGCTATCAGGGGAATGTCCTTTCTCTATGCTCACACAGAGCCAGGGTTCAGAGGAGGGGGATGAAGTGTCCAGCAATGCTGCTGCTGCCAGTCTTCCAATCTGCAAAGAGGTCCATGAGCTGAGCACCAGGAGAACAGGTGACCATGATGGACTCCCACAGAGGAAGACCAGCCGGGGCAGGGTTTATCTGCACACTTTGGCAGAAAGCCTTCGCAAGTTAATCTTCCCAGAGGTAAATCACTGTCAAAGGGTCTGGATACAAATGAACTGCATTCTGAACTCTTGATGACGAGATACATGTATCAGTAAGGGTTCTTTAGGCATGGAGGAGACAGTGAGCAGTTGTTCATCCCAAAATTAGTACTATTACCCGGCTGGGAAGGAGTTAATATACTCTGATCTTCAAATAAACCCCCTTAAAAAAAAATAAACACAGAGGAAACTGATTGTTCCATCAGCCCACGCTGCTTTGACTTTATTACTAATTATTTATGGTTATTTTGTTTGTGTTTATTTGTGTCGGCACAGTTTCAGCAAACGTAAACAGAGGTTTGGGAAAATCAAGAATAGTGCAATCAAATTTAATTCATAATTGCAGCAGTGAATGCAGTTCTAATACAGTAAAGATTAAACTCACATTCCAGCTGCTAAGGACTATTCCCCAGGATGCACAGCCAGCCCATTGACTGTCTATGTATCATTATATATACATATATATATAAAAAAAATCTTCAACAGTTGGAGTGTCACAAGTAGAAATGCCCTCAGTGGTCAAATGGCTTCGTTTGGTTACTGCATTTGTATGTATTGTCTGTTTCCCATTTTAAGCATCTGCATCGTTATTACCTAATGATGCTTTTTGGCATGGTTTCGTTTAGTCTCAAAATTAGTATGCCCACTAGCTAGCAAGGTGTGTGAAACCCATATCTCGCTGCCTTTCTCAGCTGTTGATGAATAAATGCTGTATCCAGTTCTGCCTGAAAACAGAAAATTACACATTACCCAGTGACTGCTATGGCTCTCTCTTATTTGCCTGTTTAGAATGAGTAACCCTTTCAGTGTCATCAGAATGAACAGCAAATAGCATCTAACAGGTCCTTATAGAGTAAAATTTACTTTTTTATTTTGCTTTGTTTTTTTACAACATCAATATTTAACAAGTATCATGTGTTTAGATTGTTAACACATCTATGGCGGCATTTTCTAATGTGCTTCATGATATGCAAATGTGTTTAAAATAAGTGCAGTATCAAGTGGGTTTTGCCAACTGATGTATATGTGTATTTTCTAGATTAACAAAAAGCTTCACTTTTTGAGAGAATATGGCCCAGGGATAGGCAACCTTTGGCACTCCAGATGTTGTGGACTACATACCCCCTAATGCTCTTACACCCATAATGCTGGCAAAGCATCATGGGAGGTGTAGTCCAAAACATCTGGAGTGCAGAAGGTTGCCTATGCAAATGCTATAATCATTTACACTGGTCTGTGTTAAACACAGACTATAACAGATGTGGTTTTCTGGTTTTAATGCATAAGGGAAACACATAAGGGAAAGCTATAACAAAACTCTAATAATATAATGGTATGTTTCTTTTAGTGTTGATATTTGTCTATCTATGGATCTATGTATCACATAAACAAGGCAGTCTCTCTTTATAAATGTCATAGTACAAGTTACTTCCTATCTTACAGGAGAAAGCCAGAACCTTTATTCACCCAAATAAAGCACTGGCATGCTATTAACTGTATTTACTTCTGAAGATGTTAAAACATATACATCTTGCTATAGTTATAATAAACAACAGCCCACTAGTCATTGTCTATGCATGCTTGCTGTGTTCTCCAGAACAGATTTATTTTAAACTGCTATATTAAAATATTTTACTACAATTGTGTACTGTGGACATTTTATACCCCCTAGTTACAGATTTTGGGCCATGCAATAAATATATTCTCTGATATATATGTATATATATATATATATATATATATATATATATATATATATATATATATATATATATATATATATATATATATATATATATATTCGATAATATATTTATTATACAGACCAAAATTTGTATTATATATATATATATATATATATATATATTATTTTTTTTTAACTTGTTGTGCATATGTAAACCAGAGTAAGATGCAGTGTGACCTTTAAACATTCCTGCACTCATTTATCATTTTATTAGGCATGGTAACCGCAATGTTACATTGTAGCTGCAGACATTGAAATAAAAATGGTTCTATAAAATCAGAACAATATTAATGTTATAAAATATATTTTACAAAAATTATGCCTGGACACATAGAATGTACTGAAATAAAGAACATATTTGTTCTTCGATCTGAATTGTGATAATAAAATACACGTTGTAAGCTTGGAGACGATTCAGAGACATGTCTTCACAGTGCCCAATTGGTGACCCTTGTGGGGCCTTGTCTGCACCCCAAAAACAGTAAATATTTGGGCATTGCAACATATGCTAAATGTTATGATTACTATTTAAAAGTTTAATAAAGATAATTACATAAGAAGCATTGTAGGAAATAGAAACCGTTGAGTTGAATTGCTAATTTATATGTTCTATATTTGTAGTCAGTTGTACACAGTGTTAACTTTATAGTTAAAAGAAAATTGCCAATTTGATTAAGTTAGTAAGAGCCCACACCAACCATCTTGTTTTGTGCCATTCTGAATGTTTATGATGTCTAAAGCAAAGTGATGCTAGCAGCTTCAATGTGCAAGGTGCAATTGCCTGATGTGTGAAATAGGATTCCTTGAAGGTTCAGTCATGCAGAAAAAAATTATGCCCATTTAAAGAGACAGAATGATTTAATATAGTCTATATGGGTTTCTTCATTTTCTAAAAATGTTTGGGGAAAAGAAATCTTAACCACTTTTTTTATATCTTGCAAAGATACTGCAAATTAAAGCAATGTAGCAGCTAATAAAAAAAAAAAAAAACTTTACATAATTCAGAACCATTGATATAACACTTAGAGATAAAAAAAAAAAAAAACGAAAGAAAAAAATATATAATTATTTGTAACTAGCAAAAATAATAATTAACTTAATCCGGATGGCCTCTATCTGAGAAAAGCATCAGAAGATGTATATCAGATAATTACTGTGGAGTTTATTCCCTGAAACCCGAATTAGCCCACTGGAATAGTCCATGAGAGGAGGTTATTATAAGTTGTTTTTAGGCTACTGGGACAAGGATGAGTTGATGGAAATGTTAAAGTCTCTAAGAATTGAGAATTGGGATGGAATATTATTTGAAAGGAATTAGGGAAGTCAGCCAGCAATGTGGTCAAGGAAAAGAAGAAGGAAACTAGGTGGCTGGTAAATACCAGCAATGTTTGCAGAGATGGGTTTGAACAGATGAATTGAGTGAACTTAAAATGAGGAGAAAGAGATGGATCAGATGGTGGGGAGAGGTTTGACAGAGTAGTGGGGTGAGAGCAGAAACCCTTCTGCTCCACCAACTCTATCAGGTTGCCTCAGGCCGTTGTAGAGCACATCACTGGTTCTCTTCTTATCTTTCCTACCCAAAATACTAATCCTCCTTTTTTGCTCTCCTTGCAAGCTGATTGTACCCGCATCAGCCCATCCTTGCAAGCTCACTGTCTTGGTGTTATATTTGAATCTGACCTTAACTTAGGTCCAGTCTGTTGCTAAAAGTCTGTTGCTAAAATCTGCCAATTCAACCTAATAAACATTTCCCACATTCACCCCATCCTTACGCATGATGCTACAAAAAAGCTTGTTCATACCCTTGTAATTCCTCTCATTGATTGCTGTAATTCTCTTCTAATGGTTTCCTCAGAAACCATACTGCCTCGGTACAGTCTGTAAGGAATCCTGCTGCCAGACTGATTTTTCTCTCCCTTTACTTCTCTCACACCTCACCCCTCTGCTAATCCTTACATTGGCTTCCTGTACACTATAGGGTTCAATTCACAATACTAACTGTTAAATATAAAGTTCTAACAACTCTATCCTCATTAAATTCTCTGTCTCTCCGCTCTGCCGTGGACCATCTCTTGTCTGCTGCTATAATGTTTACTGCTAACTCGCACTTGCAAGACTTCTGATGGGCTGCTTCTCTCCTCTGGAAAGGTCTGCCTGCCACCACTCTTCCATGGTCTTCAATTATTTAAGAAGTCCCTCAAAACCTATCTCTTCAGGAAAACATATGGCCTTCCATAGTGATATTTCACAAACCTATCTCTTACTTAAAGGGCTACACTCTTACCTTATGATTCTGCTGTTTCCCATCCTATCGTTTGGTTGCTAGCTCCACATTGCCTTTCCTCTTGTGGTTTTATACCTCAACTCATCTGGATTGTAAGCTCACCCTATTGTGTTTTTATACCACACCTCTCCTAGATTGTAAGCTCTTTTGAGCAGGGTCCTCGTCAACCTGTTGTTCCTGTAACATTTTGTATTGTTAAATCCCCCCTTTGTAATATTGCAAAGTGCTGTGGAATATTTTGGCACTGTGTAAATTACGATAATAATAATAATAATGACCCTTCCCTCCATCCCATGGCCAGTAGTATAGAGAGTAGTAATAAGGCTGGAATAAATGGTCCTAAGGAAATTCCAGGTTCTCTGTTCTGAAAATGCTTAGATCCAGATGGTGCCTGATGTCTCAGATCCTATTAAGGAAACACTCCAGAAATGTATTTAGTTTTTTTTAACCGTGTAGCACCTCTCAAAAAAACCTGTAGTTAATATGTTTTGCATATTGTGGGAATGGGGTATATGCAAAAAATAGCTTACATTAGCTGCAGAACTAGCTTCTACAGCTGTCATATACCATCCCCTTTTTTGTCCAAAACAAACTTCTGCTTGACATTGTCCTGTCAAAATTTTTCATTGAGAGGGCTTGCAGACAAATCGTGCATGCGCCTGCCTGGCCAATCATTTTCTTCTGAATGAGCTGTACAACAGTTCATTAAGAAAAGAATGAACATCAAACACTAAGAAAGGTACAACCCCTCTTTTCTGCTTTGAACAAGAGTTCAGCGTGAATGATGCATCGAAACCTCCAGGCTGTCTGTGTGACTAAGCTGTTTTATAAACATGCTAAAAAGTTACACTTTTAAGAATAGGGACAGGCAATTTCACCATAAAGCACTTCAGCATTGATGCTTAAATGTGTTCCATTAAAAAAACAACTTGTTATCAAATATCGTACAATGGAATGTCTCATGGGAATTGGATGGCTTTGCATGACAACACTCACAGTGCAGTGAAACTATATTCATCTAAACTATGGGTTGATAGTTAATTAATTTGAATTCAGTAACTTCAAAACACAATATGGATGCCAGAAAAACATGAGGGGTCAACTGGGGAATAATTGCAGTACACTAAGAGTCACATTTTTGTGCTATTTCGGTTCAGCTGAACTGTTTTTCCAAAAATGATCACATGAACAGAATTCTATTGATCCTAATCATATTTTTGGGGGATGATTCAGTTTAAGGCAAAGCAAATATTTAAGTATAGCTGAAACCTCTTTAACCTAGCAGGAAGAAATAAATGTTTTCCACTAGAGCAGCTGGAGACGGCGGGGTGACGGGGCTTCAAATTAGATGATTGGATCTGCACGGGTGCAGTCGGGAGATCGTCCGCCTCCCCTGGCCGACTATCATGGTTTCAGAAGCATGTCAGAGATCTCTGGTATCAGAGCCGTCTCTTGTATATTCTGTTAGCTATTAGGTACTTTTCAGTCTCATTGGCTGAAGAAAAGCTCAGAGAACCAGAAGCTCTCAACAAACACGTCTGGCCATCTTCAGAGTCAGGCGCGCCGCCCCTTCAGTCATCTTTTGGTGTAGTTTTACTCTTTGGTCAGACAATCCACTTACACGATCAATACCATGCATGTTATCAAGAATACCATGCATCTATGAGTCCTTTCATTAAGCCCTGACATCAAGCAACTTAAAAATTAAACTATCTAAAAAAATCAGAGATGGTTTCAGACCTTTAAATATTGCAAGGTCATAGCAAATATGCGGTGCTTCTAACCAAAGAATACTAAAAATGGCTAACCCCATACAGCAAAGAATAGCCATGAAGTTCACAAAAAATTCCAATTAACTTATATGTGTTCATTACAAAAAAATACTAGATGAGGATGCATTAAATATAATATTTCATTTCCACATATAATAGAGTAAATATTTAAAATTTGTTTGTAACAGAAAACTTCACAGCTTTGGTAAGTTTTTTTTACCAAGTTGAATATTTTACAAACATTGTGAAAATTGGGACAAGTGTAATTTATTAATAGTTAATTAATTGTCATCGGAAATATTTTATATACCATCAACAACTCTCTATACCCAATACTGATCATTTTTAAATCGATTTTCCAATATAAAAATTAAGGATTTCCTGCTCATTCAAAGAAACATTTTCTGTTTCCTGTTCAGTGGACGGCTGAGAGCTACTTTGCAAATAAAAGAATTGGATTGGCTGCTAACATCGCATGCTCTCTGAAGTGGTGATTTATATTTTTAACAAAATCATACATTTCAAATACGGCCACCTCCATCACACAACACTGACAGGGCCAGTGCAAGGATTTTTGACTACACAGGCGAAGATGCATTTTGCTGCCCCTCCTACCCCCCCCCCCCCCCCAAAAAAAAATGCATTTTTACCTGTGTGTCTTTTAATCCACTTCTGAATTTCTTACCTACTTTTGTGTTTCATAGTTTCATAAACTCTCGTCCTCTCTTTTGAACATCTCACCCTGTATGGTGTACCCCGTTTTTGTACCTTAGACCTCTATAGTGTATGTTATCCTCCATTTTTCCCCTTTGTGTGCCTCTACACCCCCACCCCCGTGTGTTTCCTACTCCTTCCCTCCTTTGTGTGTCTCTCACTCCCCTTCCCCTGTGTGTCTCTTCTCCCCAGCCCATTTGTTTGTCTCTTCCACTCCTCTTTGCGATCTCATCCATTCCACCTGGTCTTGTTTCTTCCCTCCTCTCCTCTTCTGTGCCTCCTTAGCTGCCCTTTGTAGCATGGCTGCCGACCACAGTAGAGGGTCTTCTGTACCATCTTCCCAGTCTGACAGGAAGTTGTTTTTTGCTCACAGAAAGCACTTCTTGTCAGCCTGCTGTAGAGGATACAGAAGATCCTTTACCGCAGTCTGCTTGGCCATGCAACTTGTGTGATTAGCAGGAGTGGGAATGCTGTGCACTGTCCTCCTGCCGATCAGCCATATTTTGCACCGTCTGTGCCGCCTTATGGTTGCACTGGCCCTGCTGACAGACTTTCAAGTGTCACTATCAGCTAAATTTACTATAGCTTGGTTAGACTAAAATAATATTAGTCTATTTGTTTAAATGGTTACTCCAAGCATCATAACCACTACAGCCTACTGTAGTGATTATGGTGCCAGGAATACCCTGACCTTTCTCCCTGGTAATGGGGCAGTTGACGACTCTCTGCCAATTAATGACACTCTGTGTGTAGAAATATGTAGATAATTGACATCAGCCACGTGGAACTCTTGTTCCAGGAAGGCTAATGATGTCCCAATGCCACAGCCGGAGGCGAAGTTACCCCTCAGGGAACGAATGGGATAAACTCAGTATGTGCAGTATTTGAGAGTGTAATGCTGCACACACAGACTCCATGTACCATGTCCACTTCAAATCACTGAAGTGGCCATCTTTGTGGTGCTTGGAGTAACCCTTGGATTGTTTAATACTGAGTTCTGGAAATACATTTTCACGTGCCAGTAAAGCTTTAAACAAAGACATGTGTTAATTTTGCAACTTAGTTCCAAAATATTGCAATAATAGTATTGCTTTAAAAGCAGAATTTGTTTTGAGCAAACGGCAGGGACTTTCCAATTTGGGGATATTTTAGCATACGATTTGCACTACACTGGTCAGTTCATCAACTCACCGTTCATTGAATACACCACCTAAAATGTATGTAAAAATTATTACACTTATTTTATTATGTTTCCTTTATAATTTTTAAAGGGTAGCTTAAATTTATGGGACATCTGCACAACCTAAAAACTAATTAAAATTTATCTTTGGATCACGCAATTTTTTTCCAATTGAAGAGATGTATTTGACTGAGCATATGTCGCAGGAAATATTGAAATTACTCCTATAAAGAAAAGCACGAATGTAAAATAAATATTTCAATTGTTTACATTGCAATCCTAGGATGAAAATTGCATTACTTTGTTAATTTTGGATGTATATCAACAGTACAGGTCGAACTCTTTTAAAATGATTACTTGTTGCATTTCATATTACATATTAACATGTTAAATACTTCCTAAAATGATTATTATACATCTGTTTAGATGTCGCAATTTAATTTACTTTTTTACTTGTATTTGTTGTTACAGTTTGAAAGGCTGAATCTTGCACTTCAGAGAACAATTGCAAGACATAAAGTGAAAGAAAATGCTAGCAGGTAACCTGTCTGAATGATTATATTTCATTGTGTCATTTATTGACAGAGTGGCAAAATACACATATTTTCTGGAATAGTCTCCAATGGGCAAAGAGTATGAAGATTTAAAAAAAATAATAATAATAATACCATGAATGCAGAAGCTGTGGAAATATCTTCTCAGTAGACCTTGCAATCTAGAGGGAACAGAATGTTCTACAATCTTACAAATGCAAATTGTCAAAACACATTTTGTTAAATACATATATTTGAAAAGTAGCACACAGACGAGTAGAGAGGACCTCTAGCATACTTCTCATTTTCATGCATGGCGGTTTTGGTTCTATACCCTAAATAAAAATAGATGTGTATAAGTACCAGTAATGCCTCAACTCGTGAGCTGTCTTTTCAAACCATCTAAGTTAAAACTAAGCATATTAAAAGCAAACACATGGGGGGCGAAGCCGTCGGCCGATCGCAGCAGATGCACATTCTAAGAGCTCCTGCGAGAACAACGCTTAACTAGGTCCACCATGGTTTGGCGACAAGTTCTTCGCCCTGTCACTCAGCACTTCAGGGAACATGGTGTGGCGTACCGTTGGGGCCCACGCTGGAAATTGTCAGTGCTCCATGACGGGAAGTGAATCCAACTATTACAACAGTCCGAAGCAGGGAAGTTCTTTAAAACACTAGGACTCCCTTTGCCAGAGGCTATTCTCACCATTGCTCCGGGTAAAAGCTCCCAAGCCCAGGTGTGGGATGTGCGCAATATACTACCCTTCTACCTGAAACCCAGACAAGCAGCAGGAGAGTCAAATCTGACGAACACCTGAGAAACACAGCGACAGAGGGCACAAGGACATGCCCTATGATACCAGTTGCCAGTGTTTTACCCATCACTGCACCTTCTCTAGGCCGTACATGACTTGAAACACGTTGATAATACATTTATAGGCTTCTATACGTTTATAAGTTAATAGTAATTCCATCTGTTAGCATATGCTTTTTCACGAATGTCCCTATGCCAAGGTTATCTCTCGAGACTCACTCCCCCACTAGAAGCAGATCATTCCAGCCTTATACAGTACTACTTATCATAAAATGTGCACTGCCCGTCTGATAATACCCTATCGGTATACAGCTTATTTATATATATATATATATTTCATATATTTCGTACTATTTGTAACCAATTATTGCTGTTTACAATAAGTTGTTGACGGCACTTAAAAAGTGGCAGGCTATGCCTTAACCAGTCTGCATTTTAAATAATCTGCTACAATAAAATATAGAATAAAAATAAATAAAAATAAAAGCAAACACACATGTTGAATGCTGGACACATTCCACGTCAGCTTTAAAAAAAAAAAATAGCAAACTGGAGGAAATTCAGCATTCAAAAACGTAAAAAAGATATTCAATTAAAAAATTTAGTTTTACAAGCTAAATGAATTGACAATAAAATTAATAAAGAATTATATATACATGTATAACTGAAACAAAATCACAGATGTGAGTAGACATCATAAAACATATTTTAGTTTCTTTCCAATGAATTCAGTGTAACATTTCTAAGCAATTAGCTACATAGCTTACATACATGTGTACATTAAAGCTGTCAAAGTCCAACACTGATAGAAAGATAGCTTGTCCTTCGTCACTGGGTTATAGTGATGCTGTGCATTTATAGAATGTGGCATGTCAGGAGATTAAACAGAACTGCAGTGCCATTGGCTCATCAAATGACTTAACAAAGCACTGTTACTTGGCAGTTTCACAAAGGATTGTCTTATCTCTGAAAATATTACACCTATGGCAAAAAAGCACAAAGATATAGAAAATACCTATTACAGCTCCTAAATATTTACCAATATGCCATGAGTACAGCAGGAAAGATTACAAACATGGAGGTCAAGAACAAGTTCACACACCTTCAGACCACCACTACCATAGCAAAGCCAAGGCATCGTGAACCTTTTAACATGCAAATATACACAAACACACATTCATATGCACACACAGACACACACATTCACAAATCCACACAGATTCATATATGCACACATTCTTACACATACACACTCAAACACACAGTTTTATATACACACACACATTTAATGTTATTTTAATTTTTTTTGTGGAGAAGATTCACGGTAGGAGATAAACATAGAAACAAAGAATGTGACGGCAGATAAAAACCATTCGGCCCACTTAGTCTGCCCAATATTTTGAAATACTATTAATTAGTACCTGGCCTTAGCTTAAGTCTAGGATAACCTTATGCCTATCCCACGCATGCTTAAACTCCCTCACTGTGTTAACCTCTAAAACTTCAGCTGGAAGGCTATTCCATGCATTCACTACTCTCTCAGTAAAGTAATACTTCCTAATATTATTTTTAAACCTTTGTCCCTCTAATTTAAGGCTATGTCCATTTGTTGTGGTAGTGTTTCTTCTTTTAAATATAGTCTCCTCCTTTACTGTGTTGATTCCCTTTATATATTTAAATGTTTCTATCATATCCCCCCTGTCTCGTCTTTCCTCCAAGCTATACATGTTAAGATCCTTTAACCTTTCCTGGTAAGTTTTATCCCGCAATCCATGAACCAGTTTAGTAGCCCTTCTCTGAACTCTTTCTAGAGTATCAATATCCTTCTGAAGATATGGTCTCCAGTACTGTGTACAATACTCCAAGTGAGGTCTCACCAGTGTTCTGTACAATGGCATGAGCACTTCTCTCTTTCTACTGCTAATACCTCTCCCTATACAACCAAGCATTCTGCTAGCTGCTCTATTACATTGTCTTCCTGCCTTTAAGTCATCTGAAATAATTACTCCTAAATCCCTTTCCTCAGATGTTGAGGTTAGTAAGGTATCAAATATTCTGTACTCTGCCCTTGGGTTTTTACGTCCAATATGCATTATCTTGCACTTATCCACATTAAATGTCAGTTGCCACAGCTCTGACCATTTTTCTAGTTTACCTAAATCATTTGCCATCCCTTTTCATACCTTAAAATGGAGAATCTGGGGTCTAGTGGGCAGCTCCATTTTGCTCTGTATTGATGCTGGGGTTGAGAGTATGTCACATCCCAGCTCCAAAATTAGTAAAGGGCGATCATGGCATCCCAATCAGGAATGAGCTAGTAGACAGTTGCCTGCTCTGGGGGAGTTCTGTATGCACCCTCCTGCTCCCTGTCACATGCGGCGAACCCCCCAACCCACCCCTTAGTGCTTTTCCATCCTCACTACTATGCATGTGTATCCATATGTTTTCAGTAAAGTTTTTATCACTCCCAAGACTGCAGCTAATTAATAATTAATGGATTTTCCAGATAAAGCCAAGGAACCCTTAATATATTCTAGTAATGTGCAGTCTACAAGGCCTTAAACCTGACTACTGTGTAACTCCAACCTATTGTAATCACACAAACTTTGCTATAATTATTGAATACCATCCTTGTCCTCTGAGAGCCTCATGATAAAGTTCTTTGTTTTGTGACTTATTGCCAGGGAGTTCGTGGTAGCTTTTGTTTGCAGGGCATTAGGAGACCATGTCTGTTGAAAGAAAATAACTTAATATTAAAGCTGTGGTTAACGCTACAAGTGATAATAAATGTCTTCATTCATCCTATATTTGAGTTCCTTATTTGTGCCTGATTTGGTTGATTTAATCCATTTATCTAATTGGTTATTTCGTTTTCTATTTATTTTGCGTTTCTTTTTGTAAGTAAAATCCACACTTGAAAAGACAGAAAATCAATTATTTTTTTGAATGCAGGTACAATAATTATGACATATTTAATATTATATTGTATATTATTATACAATAATACTACAACTTGGGAAAATTATGCACATGTTCCCTTTGTAACACTGAATTGTCTACATTGGATTTTCTTTTGCTCTTTGACAACCGCAAGTTGGGTATAGAGCCAACAAATCAATCTTAGAACACTTCCTTTTTAGAAACTCGTATAAAATGTTCCAATGTTATAAGTAATTTTAGTAAGATAATTTGCTTTCCTGTTCATTTTTAAATGTCTTATATGGTTATTTACTAAAGTGAGAATTCAAAGTGAATTCAAAGCGTATTTTCCCATTTTTAAGGCCACAGTAACCAAAATGAAAGCATAGTTGATTTACAGAATGTAAAGTTTGTCAAATTTTACCACAAATTGGAAAATGATTATTATTCCCGATGGCTTTGTTTTGTTGTTCATTGTTTTGCAAATCTACAAAACCAATGTAGTTCATTCAATTCTGTTTAATTATATATTATTTTTTCAATTGAATAAAGATAATCATTATAAAAGACAAATACAAATTACACAATAGCTGTAGTAAAGCAGTGGTTAAACTACTTCACGATTTTTCCACAGCGACACTGTAGAAGGATTGTTGTGGCTAATACATAACAAAATGTACACCACTGGTACAAGCAGAACCTTTACTATGCTCAAACGTTAATTGTTTTATGCCTAGACTCTATACACCCCAGAGTTGTTTCCTAATACAGTACTCAATCATTACTTGTGAATGTTTGCAATAGAAGGAGTGTGAACTCAGTATCACAGGTTCCATTCTTGGTAAGTTCACTTGAAGCTTTCAACATTCCAAAGCCAAGAACGTTAGCACCATTGCATTGGCTAGTCATAAAATCTATACACAGTAAATACAGAAAGTCTAGAAAAATCTTACTTAATTATTTATCTTTTATAGTCATTGTACTGTAATTTGTGACATTTCTTTTATTGCAGATCAGCATGTGTTAGTTTTAAGCTACCCAGTATGCCTGCTTGCGGTAAAGCTGTAGAAAAAGAAGATTTTGAAAAGGTTTTGATAGATCAATCAAATGCAGCAGGTAAGAGTTCTCAGAATAGGTTACGTTTTGCTTGCCATTTCTGTGGAATTGTTTTATTAATGTTACAGTATACCTCAGATTATGGGCTCCGATTATGGGCTCCTCGTATCTGGAATTTGTCTATTGTTTGGGTTTTACTGTCAAAAATAATGGCGTATTGTCTTGTTTATGGAGCCCATTTTGCTGTCCATTATCCACTTATAAGATGTGGACAGCAGATGATTCTCATAGATTAATACAGTGCAGTGTTTGCAATATAAAGAAAGACAGTTTCTGGTTAACAAATCCACTGGATCCTTTCACATGATGAAGCTACAGTTGCTGTCAGACATTTTGAGTTTAATAAGAATTTATTAAGCAGTTGAGTCACCTGTACATAGTATAAAATATGTTAACAAGCAATAAGAAACTATATACACAATTATGGAAACAGGCATTGCCCAAAGTACTGAATTAACTACTATTTTGAGCATATACAAATAATAAAGAAATAGTGAACCGAAGGCGGATACCAATCTAAATCCAGCCTCTGACAGTGTGCGTCAATAAAGATGAAGTGAAGTGTGTTGGTGTACACTGATGTGAACTGAAACAAAAAAAGACAAATAATAAAATATTAACAGACTAAGCAAGAACAATTTTATGTCAAACATCAAGCTAAGTTCCCCATAGTGAGTGAGCTGTCAGACATTTTGGATGTCTGAGTACCTTTGTTTTGTAGGTGTAGGAATCCTACATCATCTTTATTGCCTCAAAATTGAAGCATGAGACTGGTCTGCAACTTTTTATTTTCCATGGTAGATTCCTGGAAAACTGTGAAAGCTTTTCTTAGTATGGGGACCTTAGCTTTCACCAAGACATGGCCACGATAACATGAATGATGACATCACACTAAAATTCATGATTTCCTTTGTAGTCCATTACAAAAATGGATATATATTCTATTGCAGCAATGCCTGGTGGGAAGATACAGATGCTATGTTAGTACATACATTATATAATTGCCACGTTTATAATTTGCTACTATGTCTTCGGGTTATCATATAAATGCGGTAGTTTTTTTAGGTGATGCATGTGTGTGAAAAGCAGAAAAGTTCTATTGCTCTAACGCGCAACAATTTTTATGGGATGCTGGCATATATTATTTTATTATACATGTCCATCGCCAAACTTAAGAGTTTTCATAGTTCTGAAATCTAAAGCAACTTTTCATGTTAATCAAATATGCAAATGATAATTAGTCCGCCATAACTAGCTGTTTAGAGTTCGCTCCTCTGTATTGTGGATTCAGTGAAAATATGTCTCTTGTTATTTGAATACAGTGCATATATGTTAATGAATCACTGTTTGTTATCTATTCAAAAATATACACATTTTCCTGATGACTAGGATGCACCATTAATTAGTCTGGCAAAGTCACATGCACAACATGTCCAAGATTGGGAGAGTATTTGTAGTCTACAAGACCTAGAGAGTTCAGAGTGAAAATCTACTTATCCCTGTCATGGGTAGTTTTGCTTCTGCGAATATAGTTTAGCTTAGTGAATCTCAAAAATGTACATGGTTCATAAAAATATTTAATGGCCCCCAGTTCATCATATTTGTGGGCATTGCTGATATCTGGTTACATATTTTTTTACCTGATCAAATTTAACATGTTATGAAATTGCCAAGTTGAAAACACTGCATATATGTATAAACATTTAATAATACAGAGACAATAGCTAGATGAAAATAAAATATCATACTATATTTTAGCATGATTCTTATAATTATCAGATGTGTAAAACAGCATTAATCTAATGACAAGCAACATTTTGAAGTTGACACATGTTAAAAGAACACTACCAACTCTATAAACACTATAGCTTTCTTGAGCCCCCTATTTATAATTTATAAAAGTGCAAAATTATATTTAAATTTCTATACTTTTTGTAAAATGCCAAAAAAAAGTGGACATAGTCTCCATACATAAAGCACTTCATCAAGCTTAAGTGGTTTAGGGGTTTGGATGGTCCCTTTAAAGACATATTACTATGAGTGTTATTGCTGTGGAGCTCTGTTATACACCCGGACTTATCAACAATATGAAACTCCATAGAAAAGAGAGACACTTGGATGGAAAAGAGGGACAGAGGGATTTGGGCCCCAGATAGGGACTGTGCCTCCTAAATAAGGACCCTAGGGACATAAGAGTTTTAATACACTCTCAAACCAATGTTTGTATATATGCATGTGACCTTTTTAATACTACGCCTATGAGTAATATTCTTTATGCACCTAGGCCTCAATTTAATATTTTGGGGTACATTTTTCAAATGATTAAATATTTTTGGATAAACTTTTAAAATTATTTTTCAAAATATTAGAATATTAAAATATGCAAAAAGCTATAGCATAAAAATATTTTTCTACTCGTAAAGCGTGGCATGGACTGTCTAATTATCTGAAGGGAAGACCACACAAGGGAGTCGGCTGAACAACTGGCATGTCCAGGGGGACTCTGACAAGCAGAACATCAGCTACATCTGCAAATATCGACTATAACAGTTGCCCATAGATTTGTTTTCCTTTGGCCTGTTGCATTTATTTTATTTAGATAATGACAATACCAAGCCAACAAGTAACCCCCCTTGTGGAGCTTCTTAACGTTGTCAGCAACCCATAACTACTAGCCCCGAGCTGACCAAACAATCTCAATGGCCTCAGTGGGTTAACCCTACCCTCTACATGACACAATACTAATCTTACCAGCTCACTAACATAACCATGTAGTGTAACAAGAAGTGCAAACCGGTTGTATGTTCTATTTTAAGTGCGTACCTGTACATCTATTTTTTTTTTTAATTTGACAATTTGTATTGTTTCACCAGATGAGATCAACATACAACATGATGATCAACGCTGACATTGCCATGTATAAACATGTATTTGAAAATTGGTGCAAGAATAAGTCATATGGATCAAAGAGTACTTAGTTATCTTCACATTACATGAACCAAGGTGTTTTCACTAAACAACAGAATGTGAGAAAGAAAGAAAGATCAGAGAGTAGGAGCATACAGTTGTCCCAAGGAGGGGACAGGGAAAGTAGCAGGATAGAGAGGTAAAGAAAGAGGGATCAGAGGAGAGGGGGGACGGGAGCTGCCAGGAGGAGGGGTGAGGTTAGGTGGGTATAGGCGCAAATCTCAGGCATCCCTTCAGTCTGCCTCCGTGTTGTATTATCCCAGTTTCGGCCATTGTGATCTCGTATAGGGTTATAGCTCTTAGCGATTGGATGTTTGTTTGTTATTGTTTGTTTGTTATAATTCGAAATTATGGGTTTGTTTATGTTCCGTTCTTAAGAAACTCAACCCATATCTCTTTGGCCTTCGCGAGCACCAGTTTATGTCTGAATTGGTGTTGGTGTATGGTCTCATACATCCAGCTGAGTGTGATTTGGTGTATTAAATGGGTGAAATTTGAGCACTTTATGGATTTCTACTGTCTAGGTACCAAAGGGTAGCGTATGTTAAAGAAGCGCTAGTTGGGTTTTGGGCAGTCTGTCGGGCAGGATGCATAGCAAATATATCTCGGGCCTAGGGGCCACTTGGGCATGTGTTACATCTGATATAAATCTAGTCACTTTGATCCAGAAAGGTCGGATCATGGGACATGTCCACCAAATGGGAATCATTGACCCCACTGCCTTGTCACACCTCCAGCACGTGCTGGGAGAGTTTGCCTAGATCTTATGTATCCTCTCCAGTACCAAGTACCAGCGGTATAGGATTTTCCTTTGGATTACCAGGTGTTGAGCACAGGATGTGAGGCCTTTGTGTATTGTAAATGCCCTCTTCCATTGTGAAGCACGGATCACAAACCCCACTTCTCTATTCCATAGCTCCTTGTATGACTCGTGTGGTGGTGTTTGAATGTGTAACAGTAGGTTGTAGCATCTAGACAATGGTCTTTGAGAAGATTTGGGTGTCATGCAGGCGGTTTCGAATTCTGATATGTTATCAGTGGCATTTTGTGTAGGCCTTACTGGTGTATTATCTGATACGAGTGATTTTAACTGAAGGTAGGGAAGTATGAGTCTGGAAGGGAGGTTATATTGCTCTGGCAAGTGTGGGAATGGTTTGAGGCAATGCTCTTGATACAACTGCAGAACGTGCGTTATACCTCTGTCTATTCAAGTTTTTGGGTTGAATGCTGGGATTGTGAGATTAATGGCTTGTAGAGGCATCACCATTGGTATGTTGGGGTAGTCAGTCAATGACTTCCGCACCCCGTTCCATGTGTTCATAAGTAACCGAGTGGTTGTAAGGCAACCGTTAGTTTTTGGTCTCTGTCTATGGTCTATCCTAAATATTAGGTGCAGTGAGGTGAGTTTTATCCAATACTCTTCAATTCCAGTCCATTGTGGACACGGGGTTTGCAGTGCAGGGTGAATATCGTACTCAACAATGCTGCTTTGTGTTACTGTTGTTGATTCGGTATCCCCAGCCCCCCTCAGTCACCGGCCTATGCAGGACTTTTGTGGAAACTCTAACTTTTTTGTTTTGCAATATAAATTTCAGAAATTATCTCAAAAGCGACTATACATCCCTAAGTGCTGTTTGTTTTTATGTTTTAGAATCTAGCTGTATCCCAATCTTTGTATTATTCATCTGAAATAACAGAGGCGTTAGTGGGGAAGGCCTCTTGGGAAGCTGTTTGTACCGTACTAAGCTAAGTACATTTGCTTTGTTGGGGGCTAGAGCACTTGTTTATTTGTTTCATAAGGTTGAACAGTGATATAGCCAGTTGTGTCAGTGTAACTAAGATGTCATCTGCAAAAAAATTAAGTTTATAGTGTTTGTCAGAGTTTACCGTGAATATTAGAGTCTGCCTGAATTTTTGCCGCTAAGGGTTCCAGCGCCACACATAGAGCAGAGGGGACAAGGGGCAGCCCTGCCAAGAACCATTGGTAATGTTGATACTGTTGGATAAGAATCCCGCGTCTAAAACTTGTACTGTGAGTTTACCATATAACGCCCTCACAGGCGCAATAAATTGCTCCGGGAAGCGGAATTTGTGTAGCACCCCATGAATGAACATCCAGTTCAGACTGTCAAAGGCCTGCTCTGCATCAAGGGACACGAAGAGGCCCCCGAATCCTAGTTTGCAAGTGCTGTAAAGTGAGGTGTAAGACCTTGCCGATGTTGTCCGATGCCTGTCTCCCCCCCCGATCATCGTATATCAGTTTCGGAAGGATATGTTGTAATCTGTTGGCTTGGATTTTTGCAAAAAGTTTGGCGTCTGTGTTGAATAGGGATATAGGGCAGAAGTTCTGACATATTGTAGGGGATTTGCCTAGTTTTGGAAGTGTGATAATATGGGGTTGTAGGAGTTCAGCGGGCAGTTTGTGAGTGTCAATTGCGTGTCAATTGCGTGGTTGAAGAGTTGGCAAAGCCGTCCAGGCCTGGGGCTTTCCCTGCCAAGAGGGTCTTTATAGTATCGTCAACCTCTTTTCTCATGATAAGGGCTTCCCAATGCTCTGGTGTGAGAAATGGAAGTTGGGTGTCCTGTAAATAATAATCAATGGTCTCTGCCGACATAGTAGGGTTTGAATGTTGTTTTTTGAAATTATATAACGACTAATAATAGGCCGCAAATGAATTGTTGATAGCTTTAGGAGCTATGTTTTCTTCTCCTGTAGCTGTTTGGACATATGCTATTTTAGAGGTGGCTTTCCTGTCTCTGAGTCTTTGAGTGAGGACTCCACTCATTCTGTTCCCTTGCAAGTAATGTGTGGCTTTGAGTTTTTGCATTGATAGTGCCACCTTTCGGAGCGTGAACGCTTGTAGGTGGTTTTGTGCCTCTTACATTTTGTGGATTAACTCCATGGATGGAGTCAGTTGGTTTTGTTTGTTGAGGTCGTGCAATGTTTTGTACCATTTAATGTATTAGGCGGGCCAGGCTTGTTTAAGAAAGTGTGCTCTCCTAATTAGTTCCCCCCTTAATAACAGATTTGTGCGCTAACCAAGTCATCTCTGGAGATTATTATTATTATGATATTTATAGAGCGCCGTCAAATTCCGCAGTGCTTTACAATGGGTGGACGAACAGACATGTAGTTGTAACCAGACAAGTTGGACACACAGGAACAGAGGGGTTGAGGGCCCTGCTCAATGAGCTTACATGCGAGAGGGAGTGGGGTAAAATGACACAAAAAGGTAAGGATAGTATTAGACTAGTGACAGTTGCAGAAGATAAATCAGTCAGGAGCTATTAACAGTTTAATTGATACGCTTTTATGAAGAAGAGATGCATCCGATAGAGTGTTTTCCCTGAAGTAGTTGGTAAGGGAATCTTCTATGTGTTTGGTGAATGTAGGGTCATGCAACAGGGTTTCGTTTAGACGCCTTGGTCCCTTGTTATGGCTATTGAATTTGTGTTTCAAGTCTAAGGTTAAGGGGGCGTGGTCTGACTATGTAATGGTCGTTATGGTGCTAGCTAGCACCTGAGTAAGATGTTGTCCCTCAACCAGAAATCTATCGATATGGGTGTAGGAGTTATGCACTTGTGAGAAGTACGTACAGTCCCTCTCGTTTGGATGAAGAACTCTCCATGTGTCGTATAGGTTGTGTTCGCCCAGCAGTTTTTGGTATGTTTGGCAAGTTTGTGTGTTATGTGTTTGTATCGGAGCTGTCAGTCCCCTGGAGGAATCTAGTCTGGGATCTTAAATGTGGTTAAAGTCCCCACATACTATCAACATTCCCCTCCGTTTTGGAGATGATTTTGTGGAGGAAGTTATGTTGTTCCGAGTTAGGAGCATATACATTGACTATAGTATAATCAATATCGTGCATGGTACATGTTAAGATAATATACCGGCCAGCCGTATCTGAGGTGTTCATGTTCTGTAAAACCTCAGTTGCTTAATATGGAGACCCCTTTTGGTTTGGATTTAGCCATTGCATTGTATTGATGCAGATAGACTAGGGGTTTAAGGCAAGGGTGCTTCGTCAGGTGTGTCTCCTGGAAGCATACCACGTCTGGTGAAGTCTTGTAAAGGTCACGGTACAGGTGATGGTGTTTTACTGGGGTGTTCAGCCCCCTAACATTATGGCTAAGAATTTGCATTATTGGATGTGTAACGAGGTATGTGCTTTGTGTCCCTGCCAGTTGATCCAGTGGTTCCCCGCGTCTCGCCCCCAGGAGGCTCGTCGGTGGGAACCCTGGATAGTACAATGAGTGTAGAGGAGGTAATTAGTGTGTCTGGGCTACATTCTACCTTAGTCACATCAGTCTTGTCGAGATTTGACCAGATCACGAGGCATGTCGCACCCCAATGCACTCGGTCCTCATCCAGTGGTAGATAGGCAGTGTTGGATATCCCTTAGCTAGCATCGGGAAGGGCAGAGAGGGGGCGGAAGAATAGAACAGTTAGAGAAAGAAGAAGATAAAGATCGCAGATTGCGGTGGAAACCGCTATGCCTGGAATGGGCTCAGTGTCTGCAGTAGGCACTGTGAAGGTTGGCAACTGGAAATAATTGTGCATCAAACAATAATCAATAGATCACAGGCAACTAGCCCATTACATATACTCATGGGTACCTAATGATCCGAACCAAAACATAAAACATTAACAAGTGACAGTTTTGGAGCTTCTGAGTCACTATAGAGTATAGAGTGTTGCACTCTTAGCATTTTTTAGTAAGGTCGTTAATGTTCCTTAGGGATTAGGGTCTTAGGGGGGCCCAGGTTATGCGGGCCATGGTGTTACTCCACCTGGGGGGTTGTGTTAGCTTTGCCAGATTGCAGCTTGAGTGTGAGGCTTATTTCAGACTCCGTAAGGCTGTGGAGGCTGTGAGTAACATGAAGGAATTGTGAGACCCCTCCGAGTAGTGCGTTACAATCATGATACCACCCAATTCCCCCCTTCGCTTCCCCCAAAACCTGTAAGCAATTAAACATCGTCATTTGTGGTACCGGTTCCACTTGCTTTACTGTCCTCAAAATCAGCTATTTTTAGGTTGGATGCTGCCAGTTGTTTCTCTAGATCTTGGACATGGTCAGCCATGTAATTATAGGCTTCAGCGTATTCACCCATGCGGTGCTCGATATGCGCTGTTCTCTCCTGCAGCTCTTGTAGATCTTTTCGCAGTTCCTTAATGGAGGATTGAATGTTCCTTAGCAGTTTTTCGGACATTTCCTCCAGGCATGCCTTGAGTATGTCTTGTGTGACCGGCATGTTTCCTGGGTCAGGCGATGCCTGTAAGGGCAGTGTATCGTCCCCGCCGCCATATTGGTCAACCTCGTGTGGGACTGAGGCCTTAGCTTAAGCCGGTCGGGCCGCAAAGAAGCCAGGCTTGTCTCCCCGCTCGGGGTGCTTCTTACCCTTCTGCTGGGCCATGTTATGGAGGTATGTATCGGCTATTATCGGGTTGGATTGTAGTGTTAAGTCGCTTTTGAGCTAGTCTGGAAGCGGAGCTCTAGTGCAGTGCGACCATCCGCTTCAGCGTTCATGCCACACCCCCTGTACATCTATTTTAAGCATCCTATAATACCTAACATGCTCGATGTTAACCCTGTCTCTATTTCACTAAGCGCATTATGTTAATCATCCACAGTGCATGTAGCCTGCGTCTCTCATGACCCACTGTTTAACTTAATTTGTACTGTGTAAGACTCTCTGATTTAACGGATAAACTGCGCTGAACTATCTGTTAACTACTATGCATCACCATATAGAATAGCTTGTTATTCCTAGTTTATCTTTACATAAAACGTGAAAAAATGAGACAGTTTGTTTGAGAGTTAATATGTCATCTACAGAATTGGAACATGTATACTTGCCTTAACTCCACTTTTCTTTTCTGTGCTGAATAACATAAAGTCTCAACAAAATAAAGATTTAAAAAAAAAAAAAGAAATTCTAAAATATTACATCGTTTGAAATGTTATCCTATTGTTTTGAGATTTTTCTGAACAAGGCCCTATAATCAAGGCCCAAAAAAAGCAAATTGCTAGTTTACACAGTTCAGAAACCCTTTATTTTGGCTTTTGTCCATTACTAAGTTAACAAACTATATCTCAACCACATATTGATACGTTCAAATATTTTCTAATTTCAGGTGTTCCAGTAGAAAGTATCAAAGCATGTCTGGGTGAAGAACTCTTTAGATTATGCTATGATGAAGATGAACATATTTTGGAAGTAGTGGCAGGCACGTTGAAGGACTTCTTAAACAGCTTCAGTACTCATTTGAAGCAGAGTGGCCAATCGTGGTCACAGGAAAAGAGTAGTGGACTAGAGGAAGGCTCAATTTTGTGCTTGGAAAAAGATCAAGATTTCTTAAATGTGTACTATTTTTTCCCTAAGAATATAACTATATTAATCCTACCTGGAATAATTAAAGCTGCAGCATATATTATGTATGAAACTGAAGTGGAAGTGAAGTTGATTCCGCATTGTTTTAGTGAAGGCAACGAATTTATTAAGGAACCCTACTTACTGTACTCTGCTCAAATGAAAAATATTCGCCCCTCCTTATCACCTTGTAAACCACAGTCATATGTTGTTATTTCTGCTCCAATTTTCGCCAAGACTTTTCCATTTCATTTTATGTTTGATAAGGATATGACCATGTTACAGATTGGAAATGGTGTGAAGAAACTGCTTAACAAAAGGGATATACCTGGGAAAACCAGCTTTGAAGACCACTTTGATATACTTTCCCCTAAAATAAGAAGCACATTTAGTGGGATCATGACAATGTTGAATATGCAGTTCATTATAAGAATAAAACGATGGGACACCACTATAGAAGAAGCATCAAAGGTGAGATAAAAATTAAGCTGCAATAATAATGTTTTACGTCAAATAAATAAATGTAATGCTCCAGTTAACGTGATGTGGAAGCCAGTCATGTGTCCTTCTGTACCAGTGTATATAACCATTAACAAGAAATCAGGGCCTGGTGCTGATAATTATAATAAGTCTTATTACAGAATCTTATCAACAGAAAACAGTAAAGTAGTCATATCTCCAAAGTGTCTTTGGAGGAGGTGCCAGAAGGAAATTCACCAAATGTATTTATAAAATACACATATCCTACACTAATCTCTTGCTTTCATCTCTCAAACCTATCCATACCCCCAACATTGGTGTCTTGAGTAGCGTAAACTGGTGGACATGGTAAAAGTAGGTAAGACGGTGATGCAAATCACATCACAAGCACCACCCAAAGGGGCAAACCCGGCTGGAAAGGAGTCAGGTCTGCCTGAAGGACAGTGGCGTCGCTAGGGGGGCGCCAGAGGGTGGAAGGGGTTTTCAATCACAATTTTTCCCCACCATAACCTATTTGGATTTTGCTTCCCAAGCACTACCAAGCCTCAATAAGCAGCCAGTAACCAACCTCATGCTGAAGAGTTGCATTAACAACGAAACAGCTGTCCATGAGTGGTTCACTGGTTTTGCATCTTTTCCTAAATTGTGTTCCAAGCAGTTGTATACTGCAAACACAGATTAAAAGGAATCCATGTTTAAAATGGAATGAGGCAAAAATATCATTCTTTGTTAAACAAATTTGCATATGCCCACCCAGAATCCTTTGCGGTTGTAACATCACTGCAGATTTGGGATTTCTGTGGGAAAAGCAAGTCTTATGGCTTGACTGGTGTGCAGATTTTTGTTTAACATTGTATTAACTATATATATATATATATATATATATATATATATGTATAAATATATATATATATATATATAGTAAAAAACTATTAAAGGTACACTCTTATGTAGCAAAATGACTTCATCTTAATGAAGTGGTTTTGGTGCATAGATACTGTCCCTTTTTTCAGGCAAAGTTAAATATTTGTCCGAAACCTAAATGCACAGAGGTTGCTTTGAGGCGATGGATCCAGTAATGGAATAAAGCGGAGTTTTATAGTAATTTTTACTTTTTTTCTTTTAGTATGTATTAAGTGCTTTTTTATATTTTAACAATATGAATGCTATTGTTTTTGAATACTTATTTTGCAGATTGTTCAGGAGTTTCTTGAGCACACACAAGGGAATGAGTTAATTAAACCACCATTTTCAATTAAAACAAGAAATTACGATTACTTTAACACTTCGAGAGTTTATGCTGTATAAATGCATTGAAAGCGCAGATGTGCAAATTAGTTCATAATGCATTTTGAATTAATATCCATGCCCTGAGTCAATGCACATATTATAAGACTGCAGTCTTTCATGGTTTACTTGTGTTTTCAACATTTTAGCTATAATTCAGCACCTCATTATATTTGGAGTACACATAATCCATAATGAATTCTGACAGGTTTGTAGTCAGTGTCAGGCTGACTTCCACTGAGTCTTGGGTTTTTGAATTATATTTTTATTTGAATGTTTTTTGAAAATGACATTTTAAATGACAGCTAATGTGGCAACTTGCATATTTTGAGCCTGGAAAAATGGATAATTTGCACATTACATATAAAAGAGGATTTTCATTTTTTTTCTACATGTCATTAATCTTGTGCTATTTGGGTTTGTAGCAGAGTGCGTGATACAATATTAATAGTAGAAAACATTTCATATGTGACAAGAGTCCTGCATGCCAATAGTCCAGGTTGACAAATATTGACATTTCAGCCCCTCAAAATGACACCATCTTGCTTTTATGTCTTAAATAGATAATATAGATAGCTTTGTGTTGTAAGGCAGTATTACATACAAAGAACTTCATATCATGCATGTTTGAGAGGGAACTAGACTGATCTCTGAGCTGCATCCAGGCCTCAAAAAACCTTTAGCGTCTACTAGCCGAGGAGACTCGGATTAGTCAGAGTTGAAATTTGTCAGGAACTCGAACGATTCTGTGTTATTTTGAAAAATCTGAACTGTATCAGTTAACAAGAACTGAAAAATGTTAGTAACCAGTCTCACTTAACAATAACTTTGAATCAGTAATTTATAGTTACTGTAATTTACAGTTTACAGGCACATAGAATCCTTTATTTTAGGGCTTTCTCAGCTATTTCGGATCGATCCAAAGTTTTCCAACCGACCCAAAATTTAAAAAACAAACCATTAAATTGTCGACCAAAAATTACTAAAAAGTTTTTAAAATTCTAACTGTATCAATTTGGAAGAATTGAAACGGTCCACAAATCTACTGTCTATCTCCCAACCCCTTGCTCTGCTGATCAACAGGGGCCTGGAGAGTTCGATGATGGAGTTATATGATGTACAACATTGTGATATTTTCTATGTATTTAAGAATTTTTTTGAAACATAATGCGTATACTAAAATGACAGAATTTGCCTTTTATTTATTTTAAATTTAACAATTTATCTGCCAAGTGATTTTCTTCACCATAATGTACCCTTGCAGCCAGGCAGTACTGATTTTTATCTTGACAACTCTAGAAATCTCTGATACCTTTACCTGGGTCAGTGGCATGCAGACATTGAATCGTTTTAGGACACAGTTAATAATAAAAGACAAGAAGAAGTCCTTACACAGGAGTTTATATTTGTCAGCTGTTCTTCTGTACCTTACAAACCTTGATTACTCGTATGTCTTTTCCAAATAAATAAAAATAAAAAACAAACATTGCATGTAGTGCCATAACCTTTGTCTGGAAATCCAGGTGGAGGTGTTGAAAGCCTCAACTGGCCGTGGCTGACTGTACATTTTTCATAAGTCCTCCATTGTCATTTTATTACTTTTGGCTGCACTTACATGTACAATACAGTTGTTCATATTTCTTTTGCACTTGAAACATATTAATGGGTAAAATCAGAATAATATCAGTGCTTAGTAGATATTTCCTTGTAGTCCAAAATAGGGAAACCGCATAAAATGCAGGAATATTATAATAAATGTAAGAGTTTGAATGTCAATTAATAGAAGGATATGTCCACATTTAATCTGGAATTGTAACTGCTTTTCAAATCTTGCAGTTGAAGTCTGTGTCCCTCTATGTAACTTTTATGTCCCACCTTTAATCAAAGAAACACTGACATAGCATAATATAGTTAGAAAAATGTATTCCCTTTTGAAACATACCCCCACAAGAGAAACCCTTACACAATTTAGTTGTTTAGTTTAGTTTATTTCTAAGTGCCACTACAAAAGCCTGAGTGTAACAGTTACAAGCCAGAGTAGATGTAGTTACCGCTCCGTTGACAGTTGCTGACAGACCGGTCCTGTGCACTCCGACCGATGTCTCCCTGGAGCGTCAGCTATCACGTACTGCCGAACTCGCCTTCACAATTTCAAATGCTCAAAACCCGCCAAACACGATCTATGCGTTTCGCCCATTAGATCGGGCTTTTTCAAGATAAAGTGTTGGGGGATTGAAGCTGAATATATACACCATCTAATTGTACACCTCAGGTGTATAACATAATCTAAACCTTCCTGCTCATATGGAACTCAAATATACAAATAATCAACATAGTCTTTTCAATTTTGCTCGTTACATTCGTGGGTGGCACAGTAAACGCAGTAAACTTTACATACTTTCATTTACAGCAGAACTGACAATTACTTACTTATATTCGGCTTCTGGGTTAAATAGCTATACTTCAAAAGATAATTGCGTCTGTATATCAAAAAGATTTAGTCCGTTTATAGAAAAGACCTATGTGTAAATGTGAGTTTCTATGTTCATGGTTTTTTTACTGCTCCTCCTCTTTTTCCCTCTCTTGATCTATGAAAGCAACGTACCTAATATCTGTACATAATATTTATATTTTGCTTTACACTGATTGGCCCATTTTTGTGCTCCTTCATTTCATCTAAATTATTTTTCCCAAAACTATTGAATGGATGAAATATGTCTGAACCAAAACGCCATGTGAACAAATAAATCAATTCGGCCAAAACAAACTATTTCGTCTTGAACAAGTCTATTAATATTGGGAAATGCTTAGTCTAGAGGAATTTCCTAGATAACTAGGGAAATTATTCTGCAGCTATATCTCAAAGAAAACAGCAAACTGTGATTAAAAGATCTCTGTGGCTCTGCTTGAAAGCAGGTGGCCCAACAGAATGCTGAAAATATGGCAGCTGCACCCTTCTCATGTATTTAAATCTGCCAAACATTGTATGCATTTTCTGGAGTAGGACCTATCCAGCTGGACCAATACATAACTAAGCTTTTGGAAGACTATATGCTTCAAGTGTTGGAGGAATGGTTATACTCCACGGTGATGAAGAAATGGTAAGGGAGTCCAGATATCATGAGAATACACTGAAACCTAATGCTAATTATTATGAGAATGAAAATGATGCAGATTGTGAGAAGGATATTTGCTTTGCTTACATTACAGTCAAGCAATAGAAAAATGTAAGGTCTACCTGGGTATCTAGCTAAGTAGTCACCTTAGCAGTATTAATAAAAATAAGTTAATAAAGGCCAAATATTTAGAACAATACCAACCAGTTCTGAAGAAGTATACCATCAGACTCACATTGTCTTGAAACCCATTATGATTTGTGCAGTAAATTTTTTCCATGAATGAAAATCTATTGGTCATTTAGATACAATGGACTTTCCTTAAATATATTTTATCTTTTATTGTTTTTTAAAATAAATCTGTAAAAGAGACAACGGTGAACATGAAAAGATTGCATGACTTGTCTACTCATCTGTAAAATAAGGGGAAAATTGAAGGAAGGATCCAGCATATTCAGATCTATCTGGCATTCCAATTTTTCCAGCCTCCTGAAACATTTGCAAAAGATTTGGCCTTTGCTGCTGCTGCTGAAAAAGTACTATATTTGGAATCTCTATATTTCCTGATTAAACTGCAAGCTATTGATGTTGCAAACATAAAATTTTCGGTTCGCGAACGGCGAACGCAAACTTCCGAAAATGTTCACGAACCGCCATAGACTTCAATAGGCAGGAGAATTTTGAAACCGACAGGGACTCTTTCTGGCCACAATAGTGATGGAAAAGTTGTTTCAAGGGGACTTACACCTGGACTGTGGCATGCCGGAGGGGGATCCATTGCAAAACTCCCATGGAAAATTACATAGTTGATGCAGAGTCTGGTTTTAATCCATAAAGGGCATAAATCACCTAACATTCCTAAATTGTTTGGAATAACGTGCTTTAAACCATCAGGTATGATGTTGTATCGATCAGGTAGTGTAAGGGTTACGCCCGCTTCACAGTGACAGACCAAACTCCCCGTTTAACGCACCGCAAACAACCGCAAACAGTCCATTTGCACAACCGCAAACTCCCCATTTGCACAAGGTTGGATACCAAGCTAGCCATGTCCCGTTCCTTGTCCTCACTGATGTCATTGAAGGTCTCTTCCTCCACCCAGCCACGTACAACACCAAGGGTCCCCGAAAGGTGACAACAAGCCCCCTGGGACGCCTGCTGTGTTTGGTCTTCCACCTCCTCAAAGCCACCTTCCTCCTCTGACTCCTCTTCTTCAGACTCCTCTCTCTGCGTTGCCTCTCTCTGCATTATTATAAGGTGTGTTAAGTAGTACTATTCCTATCAGTTTAATCCCTGTTACGTCCCCTATCAGGGGACGTGTATATGGCATCGATTTTAGGAACCGGGAGATGGAAAAAGATGCTTGGTCGGTCCTCCTTCTTCAAATTTGGGGCACTGCGCGTGCAATCTAATGTGCCACCAGATAGGAGTGGTGTGTTAAGTAGTACTATTCTTATCAGTTTAATCCCAATGTCACGACTACTAGTGTGGTCCAGCACGCAGAAACTATGTAAACATATACATAGGCAAGAAAAGGAAAATAAAAGGACAGAGCGTAAACCGGACCTTAGAATGGCCGGACTAATATGCTAGAGACAGAGAATGGTCAAAGGGAAAGCCGAGGTCAAGGAAGCCAGAAAATACACAATACCGTTTACACAAGCCAAGTCAGGGAAACCAGAATTCAGAATAACCAGGGAAAAGCCAAGATCAGAATACCAGGAAATCAGATTCACAATGATAAAGCACTCTCAGGAAACCAGGAACAGGAAACCACGACAGGGCAAGGTACTGGGGTGAGCTAGGGATTTAAATATCAAGCGGCAGGCCGGCAGCCGCGACACCCTGTTACGTCCCCCTCATCAGGCCTTTTTTAGTTGAATGTATCGCCCACTGTCAGTCCCTTCGGGATCCATCCCTCATTCATCTTAATAAAGGTGAGGTAATCTAGACTTTTTTGACCTAGGCGACTTCTCTTCTCAGTGACAATACCTCCTGCTGCACTGAAGGTCCTTTCTGACAGGACACTTGAAGCGGGGCAGGCCAGAAGTTCTATCGCAAATTGGGATAGCTCAGGCCACAGGTCAAGCCTGCACACCCAGTAGTCAAGGGGTTCATCGCTCCTCAGAGTGTCGATATCTGCAGTTAAGGCGAGGTAGTCTGCTACCTGTCGGTCGAGTCATTCTCTGAGGGTGGATCCCGAAGGGCTGTGGCGATGCGTAGGACTTAAAAAGCTCTGCATGTCCTCCATCAACAACACGTCTGTAAAGCGTCCTGTCCTTGCCGGCGTGGTCGTGGGAGGAGGAGGATTACTTTCACCTCTTCCCCTGTTAGATTCCCATTGTGCTGTGACATCACCCTTATACGCTGTGTAAAGCATACTTTTTAATTGATTTTGGAACTGCTGCATCCTTTCCGACTTGCCGTAATTCGGTAACATTTCAGGCACTTTCTGCTTATACCGGGGGTCTAGTAGCGTGGACACCCAGTACAGGGTTCTCCTTCAGCCTTTTTATACGAGGGTCCCTCAACAGGCACGACAGCATGAAAGACCCCATTTGCACAAGGTTGGATGCCGAGCTACTCATGTCCTGTTCCTCGTCCTCAGTGATCTCACTGAAGGTATGTTCTTCCCCCAGCCACGTACAACACCACGGGTACCAGATAGGTGACAACGAGCACCCTGGGATGCCTGTTGTGGTTGGTCTTCCTCCTCCTCCTCAAAGCCACATTCCTCCTCTGCAAAAAATGTAGATAAAGACCAGCGCTTATTTTGTCAGATTTTGATATACAAATGTGTGAAAGTAACTTAAAACTAGCTGCTGAACATTCGTATAATGCCTTCCAACAATACAAACAAAATATACAAAGAAAAAGAAGAATGTAGCGATTATATGGTAAATCAATAAATTGTCGCTTTTTAGCAATTCCAGAGGAGTTGGTGTACTTGAATAACCAGCAGATAAATACCTAAAAAGGAAATAATCGAATATAGTGCAGATGGTATATCACTGAATAATATTTAAAGTAAAAATTATTTATAATAAGTAGTTTTCAATAATTAATTGATGTAAATTTCAAATGGATAGAATAGTATTATTGTTTGTTACCTTGGATTAAAATGATAGCATGTATCTTGAGAGAATAGTAACATTGTTACATAATTAGCTTTGTGTAGCTGTTGTAACGATATTAAAGAATGAAGAGGAAATATAAAAAGTTCGCTGTTTAGTGCAGCTATTTGAGACTTATAGCAATTAGATGTAGTCAGCTCATTATGACCAATGCAGGATAAGGAGTGATAAAGACTCTAGATTTATCCCATAAATTATTTATGGATAAAGGGTTTAAAATTAAATTCCTCTGGAGATGTTTTAAAGTGTTATTAAAATTACCTTTTCTGGAGTTCATAGTAAGTCTTTCTAATGCCTGAAAGGTTAGATGTGTGGGATCTCCATTATGAAATTTTATAACATGATTAGAGATTGGAGTTGACACATTAGGATTCGTTATTGAGCAAACATGTTGTAGGATTCTTCGTCTAAGCTGTTGGTATGTTTTGCCAGTATACTGAACCCGACAACGGCATGTTATCAGGTAGACCACTTGTACAGAGCCACAATAAATAAATTATTTGATCTTATGTTCTTTCTGAGTTCATGTGCTCATGACTGATTTTGTGGCTTTAATAAATTTACAGGCCTTACAATGGCTGCATTGATATGTTCTCTGTGTTAGCCATGTGGGTTGTGGTTTTATTGGTTCATTTAAAGCCAATTTCCGACCAAAGAAGTTTGTATCCTTGATCCACTCAAATATATCACTGCTTGGTGTGGGTATAAAAGAAAGGACCAGTGCCCAAAAGGGAGGAGTGATGTGGTTGGAGGGTAAAATTTGAAAGGTTGACTATCTGGTTTAAGTTGTTGTTCATTAGATCTGGTTTATTCCTCTGTCTTGTTTGTACCCCCATCATCTTCTATCTATAAATCTGCCTCTCTGTGGAAGGGGCCAATCCTCCTCTAAAAAAGATGATGTCATGGTTGTATCTATTCTTGTTGTAGTTTCAGTAGTAGCTGCATCAGGAGTATCTGGGAAAGTCACATTTCTATTCGTATTTTTTAAGATGTTTTTGTAGGATTTGGAGTAGTCTCTATTATGTTGCTTTCTGTTAGGTCTAGAATGTACAAGTTGGTCCCTCAGATTCTTAGATCTGTGTGCTGTTATATTTGGAAACTTGCAGATGTTATCTTGTAGATCAATGTCATGTTGTAGAATTGGCCAATTGTGGGACATGATGTTTAACACAGGATCCCAATATTGGTCATAAGTACCCACACATCTAATTAGTTTTTGTACCTCCTTGGGTCTCATGGCTCTCAGACGTTCATCTCTATTTTGGGCCAGTGCTCGTTGAAATGCCTTTTTTTACGATTCTATCTGGATATCCTTTTTGTTTGAGCATAGTTCTTAATTTCTTTGCTTCATCTAAGAAGGCCTTATCATTTGAGCAATTTAGTCTGGCCCTCAGATGTTGTCCATATGGTATTCCTGACAAAAGCTTGGTTGGATAGTGGCTAGTCCAGTGAAGCAATCTATTTGTTGCTATGCTTTTTCTGAAGAGTTCTGTTTCTATCCTCCCATCCTCCTATATTTTTATGTTTAAGTCAAGGAAAACTAGGTGTTCTGCATCAATAACGTATGTAGGTTTGAGGCCCAGCCAGAAAATCAGTATATCATCTATATAGCGATGCCAGCTATAGATAAATGTCCCTTAGTGATCTTTGATGGTTTCTTCTAGAATAGTCTCTTCCCACCATCCCAAATAGAGGATAGCATAGCTTGAGGCACAGGCCATACCCATGGCTGTGCCCCTAAGCTGTAGATAGTATTGTCCATTAAACACAAAAAAGTTGTGCGTAAGGATAAATTCAAGTAATTGTATTATAAACTCCCTTTGGGCTGGTGTGAACTTAGAGATTTTGTTTAGGAAGTAAGAAGTAGCTGTGAGGCCCTTATCATGTGGAATGTTATTATATAGTGCTACCACATCAAGACTTGCCAACATGCTGTAGGGGGGTACTTCTAAATTCTCCAGGAGCAACAGAGTGTGTTTTGTGTCTTGCAGATGAGATTTAAGACTGGTGACAAATGGATGTAGTAGTCTCTCTAGGAAGTGACTACTTCTTTCCGTAATTGAGCCATTTCCAGAAACGATAGATCTTCCTGGAGGGTTCTGTGCATTCTTGTGGATCTTCGGAAGGCAGTAAAAGATGGCAATTGTTGGATTTAGATGTGGTAGAATAAATTTGCATTCTTCTCTAGTAATGATGCCAACCTCCAATGCTGGTTCCAAGATATTTTTAAGTTCCAGAAGAGACTGTGTTGTTGGGTCCTTAGGTAATAATCTGTAAGATTCTGGATCTTTCAGATGGTCAATACAGAGCTCAATATATTTCTCACTGTCTAATAGAACTATATTTCCCCTCTTATCTGAAGGTTTAATAATTTAATTCTGTTAACGGCTAAGTTCTCTTAGGGCTTTCCGTTCTAGAGGAGTTAGATTGTCATGTACCCTGGCTTGAGTCTTCAAGGATTTAATTTCATCTGTGGTCATTTTAATAAAGAGGTCCATACTGGATACCTCTTTCAGGTTTGGTGTCAACCAATTTTCTGGCTTAAGTGTTGTAAGTAGTTGTTCGATAACCTGTTCATCCAATAGGAACTGTAATGTTAGGTAGTGTTGATAGTCTTCTGGGGAGAAACCCGCTTATTTAGCTAGTTTAAGTTTTTTTCTTTTATGTACCTCATTTAAAGCCAATTTCCGACCAAAGAAGTTTGTATCCTTGATCCACTAGAATTTATCAGTGCTTGGTGGGGGTATCAAAGAAAGGACCCGTGCCCAAAATGGAGGAGTGATGTGGTTGGAGGGTAAAATTTGAAAGGTTGACTATCTGGTTTAAGTTGTTATTCATTAGATCTGGTTTATTCCTCTGTCTGGTTTGTACCCCCATCGTCTTCTGTCTCTTAATCTGCCTCTCTGTGGAAGGGGCCAATCCTCCTCTAAAAAAAGATGATGTCATGGTTGTATCTATTCTTGTTGTAGTTTCAGTAGTAGCTGCCACAGGAGTATGTGGGAAAGTCACATTTCTATTCGTATTTTTTAAGATGCTTTTGTTTTTGTAGGATTTGGAGTAGTCTCTCTATTACGTTGCTTTCTGTTAGGTCTATAATTTCTGGAATCAGAATCAGTCCAATTAGTATTTCCTGATGTGGAACTGCTTCTGCTATTAGTACGTGTTCTAAATTTTCTTTTGACTCTAAAGATATTTCCCTCCTTAAAATTCTTATGGTCTCTTAGGAATTTTGTGTATTTTTTTTTTCCTTAACATGTTTTTTGAAATAATCCAAATTTTTTTGTAATTTATTTTCCATGAACAGAACTCTTGACTTGTTTTTAAAATACAACAGAAAATAAACATATCAGTTTTTATCAGTGTTAGAATAAGTGAACCTTTATATATTGGTGTGAACTGTAAATAATGTATAATGTTGGAGAATGTGAAGGACTGGTGAAGGTCATCGGCAGAAGTGGCTGTAATCAGGAGAGTAAAGATATAAAGTGATTCTTTGCATTGAAAAACATATGAAATAAAATGTGTTTTGAAGTGACAGCATTGAAGGATAGTAAGAATTTAAATAGGATTACTAAAACAAAGAGGACAAACAGAAGAGGACTTTAATTTAACTTGAGGGGAAGTGTAACTAATATAGGTGGGTAAGTGGACCATTCGAATTGGAAGAGGGAAATTAGGGAAGCCTAAAATGGAGGGTGAGTAAGAAGATGAAAAAAACCATAGTACTTGCATTGCACACTGAAATAGAAGGAGGGCAGGATAGAATGGTGAGATATTGATGGAAAGAGGAATAAGTAGTGAAACAGAAAAAAAGGACAAAAAAGGGGGTGACGAGTGATGTATTTAATTAAAAAGGAAAAATAGACATCTGTCATAATCACTGTGCAGATCGCAAATAATACATCTTTTCTTTGCATTCACAGACAATGAATCTGAAAGGCCAAATGATCTACGTCTTTGAATCCAGTGCCATTTTGTTCTTGGGATCTCCATGTGTGGACAGACTGGAGGATTTTACTGGACGTGGGCTGTATCTGTCAGATATTCCCATACACAATGCTTTAAGGGATGTTGTACTTATTGGAGAACAAGCACGAGCACAGGACGGATTAAAGAAGAGGTTGGGAAAGCTTAAGGCAACTTTAGAAGTGACACATCGAGCTTTAGAAGAGGAGAAAAAGAAGACAGTTGATCTTTTATGCTCAATCTTTCCCGGTGAAGTGGCTCAGCAGCTGTGGCAAGGGCAGACAGTGCAAGCCAAGAAATTTAACAATGTAACAATGCTATTTTCAGACATTGTGGGGTTTACAGCAATCTGTTCACATTGTTCACCGATGCAGGTTATCACAATGCTTAATGAATTGTACACACTTTTTGATTATCAGTGCGGGGAACTGGACGTATACAAGGTAAAGTAACATCTAATTTTTAGGTTGACAGTCAGATTGAATAATAATTATTTCTTATTTTATTTTGATATATATATATATATATATATATATATATAATCATTATATATTGTGACAAACTTACTTTCTTGTGTGTGTTTGTCCAGGATCTTTTGGCAACTGCACAGCCCTCTAGGTTAAGGAAGCCAGGTCAAGACAAAGTCCAGTTTAAAAGGCCTCTGGCCTGTTTATTTTCTGTTGGTAGTAAGTAGCCAGGTAAATCAGGATACAACAGGATATATAAAGCAGCAATGCTTACAAATAGTAGAAAACCTTCCAACCTTCTTTCTCCACAAAACACTTCCTCCCTTCACCCTGCTTTAACAGCAGTTACAAAGCTGCTCACAGCCCCTACAGGTGAGGCTAATGAGCCAGAACTCAGAAAACCTGGGCTGGATTCATGTACAGCCACTCTGACAGTGGGTGGAGAATCGGCCCACCACGCTCTTCCGAATACTTCACCCCAGGGACCCAAATAACAACACAGAAAAAACATCTATATGTAAACTTAACTTACCCTGGGGCTGCATATGCTAATCCCCTTATGTCAGGATAGTGCCTGCGCAAAAGTCTGGGTGCCAGATATACACCCCTGACCACCACTCTGTCACAATATATATTGTATTATTTATCTACTTTTTAGTTCATATACACAACTCTGCACAATTTAAAACTGTATTTTATTTACTTATAGTTATCATTTTCTTTATCTGGATCTTTTACTATTTTAGTAATCTGTGACATTTACAATCTTATTCTGTGAGAACGCATTCGCCAATAGCTGAAAACTCAATATCTCTCATGTTATTTAACAGCTAACTACAGTATTACAAGCACACAATGTTGGGTTGGCTTTAAGAAAAATTGGGCATTTATTGTGGAGACGAATAGTCATTTTTAAAGAGATTCGTGTAGCGATCATGTCCCTGCAGTCTCACTTCTCAATTCTCTTCCATTCAGGAGTTAAATTTAAAGTTGATTTCTAACTTATACACAGTGTGTTTCATTAAAAATGTCTTGGCTCCTGCTCAGTTAGTAGCCGGACACCACCTACAACAGCATCTAAGATTATTGATGGGAAAAAAAACGATAATTCATGGCAAGAGAGCAGCCACCAATTGTTAATTTTATTCACAGATCAGGTGAGAAGTGACAAATAGAGGGAAAAAAGGAGTTTCAGGAAAAAAAAATGATCTATTTATATATTATATACCATTTAAATATATATATATATATTTTTTTTTTTTTACTTCCCCTCCTCTTTTTCCTTCTATTGGTTACTTTGTCTCTCTTTGTAAGGATTACTGTAGATCCAGCACGCAAAAATAGTATCACACCTAGGACTAAGGATAACGTCTAACCAGACCTTAGAATGGCCGACTTAACATATCCAAGAATAGTCAAAATACTTGCCAAGGTCAGGGATACAGAATGAGACACGAGGATGAGGGAAAGCCAAAAGTCTAGGATATCAGAAATCAGGGAAGTCAAAATAAAGCCAAAGTCAATAACCATAATAATACAATCAGGAACACACTCTCGGATAACCAGCAAAGGAAAACTACGACAGGGCACTGACAGAAAGGTAAATTGGGTTTAAATACCCCTCCTTTTGCTGTAATTGGTTGCCTCTGACCTCTGACCCTAAAACGCGCGTGCGCGTCTATGACGTGACGTTGCACGCACATTGGCGCCATATTTTGCTCCCTTTTGGTTCGTCTGATTCATTTTTGCAAATCCTTTTTGGCAAAAAAATTATTGTGAACTAAAACACCACATGTACAAAATTCTGCGTAAACAAATTTAATTCATATAGATGTGTTAGAACCTTTGAGATTAAAGGGGCACTCTAGGCACCATAACAACTACAGACCACATTAATGGTTACAGTGTTAGTCGGCTGCAAAATTACCTGGTTCTGAGTCAAGCTGTTTAGAAATGCTTGCAAATGGTTTGGCCCACTACTAAGGCATGACAACTGTGCCATAACCCCTATATTTGCATGCAATCATTACTATGCTAAGACTGACCCTTTAGCATGATGCTTCCTTGAGATATTTGAGCATAAAAATTTCTATTTTACCTATACAATGCGTACACAGAAACTGCGTGTTAATTGGCTGTTCATGGACAATGTCTGTTACCATATGTTACCATTGAAAATGAGCTACTAATTATTTAAGCCTTAAACTACCTTTGAAGTCAAACTAACCCTTGTTGAAGATCATTATGATGATGTTGCAAGGTACCAGAAACACCTGGGGCTTGATCTCAAAGGAAAACCTGAAGACATCTAAACTAACAGAGAGAAGGAGATGTCATGACATATCACTGCCTCTCTATGTTATGTTCCATTCTCTCTACCTATGGTTACGGACAAGTTCGGCCCAAGACATTGTGCTGCCTGGGTCCAAGGATGAAATGCTGCCCCCCCAAAAAAAAATACTAAGCCCACATCCATTATGTTAGAGAAGGGGTAGTCAACCTTTTAATACCTACTGCCCAGTTTTGTATCTTTGTTGATGGTAAAATTTCCTTACCACCCACCAGTGCCGCAGTAACTCGATTGTTTAGCGCAAGTGCTAATTTCTTTTTTTTTTTTTTTAGAAAGGAGGGTACTTACATTTCTATTTTTTTCCCTTTTTTCTATTATCTGTTGTATTTTTTTCTATATGTGTGTGTGTGTGAGGGGAGCAGTGTGTGTGAGTGGTGCTGTGTGTGCATGACCCACCACCGCCCACCTGAAAGCCTGAATCGCCCACTAATTGGTGGTAGTTGATGACCCCTGTCTTAGATCATAATAAAATAAAACTCACTTTAATGAGTTGATTCACTCTATGTGGATGGCAAGTCAAGTGCTTCCAAGTGGAACTTGGAAGCACTTGTTATATGTATGGAACAACTTCGAAGTACCTGTTATATGTATGGAACTGTTTTAACCCTTTCCACTCGGATAAAATTTCAGCGTCATTTGCCAAATTTATTTATAGAAATCACCTCATGGGTGCGTTTAGTTTTTTTTTAGTTCGCATTTATCCGATAACGTTATGTACCTCTGCGTGAGCCATACGATCGTCGAACTTGTATGCTACTCATGTCCCACCAGGTAGAACATACGATCGGAATGAGAAAATTAAAATGACCCACACTGTGGGACAGTCCACGGGAAAGGGTTAAAGCCAAGGGAGGCCAAATGACAGACCTACAAATCCCACAATGCTTCACCAGCCTTATGTTGACAAAGCATCTGGGGGCTGTAGTTGCACAATATTTGGCTTCCCTGGTTTAAAGGGACACTTTAGTCACCGGAACCATTATAGCTTAATGTAGTGGTTCTGTTGTCTATAGCCTGTTTCTGCAGGCTTTTCAATGTAAACACTGCCTGTAACGGCACCCCGAGCAAGACAAGGCTCAGTTTTGAGGGTCAAGCAGGAACATACAGAGCTGTGGGTTTATTGTTCTTATGTACACATTCTTACACATTAGTACCACCCACAGGGTTTTGGAAAACAACCAATAAACATGTACAATACACTCAGACACTCCCACACAAAATCCTCCCCTCTGCCTGTGATACAATTACCTTACACAATGGGTAATGTAATGATCACAGCCAGAGAAATACAGTTTTTCCACATTATTCATAACTTGAAAAGTATGCATCACATTCACAAAAATTCACATAAATTCACTTACATTTTCAGAATCAGCATACTCCAAATACAAACATATGTCAAAATCATCCAAATTGGTCTATTGGTTCAAAAGATAGATCGAAGTCCTTTGTGACCAAATGAAGCATGGCTTTTCTGCCCAAAACCAGTTCCACAGAGTCTTCTATCCTGGAGATAATTGGGAAGTAATCCAATTATCTCCAAGGACAGAGGCAAAACTCCATTGAACACATGGCAGCAAAAGACAATAAACACATAAAAATACATAACTGTGCAACCATTGCACAAAACAGGTACATTCAACATATCCCCAGATAGCTCAGATCTGAGCGCACATTATTACTGAATGGCACTCAGAGCACACACATACATTTCAATTGCCATGGAGCCAAAGTCTTTCCCATAGTCTTTCATAATACGAATGGGCTCCATGGCATAGCTATCTGGGGTATAACCGCTCAAACAGGGCAAGCACCGAATGACCCGGCTTTCGTGTCTTCGCAGGGGAAAATCAAGCGTTTCAACATGGGACCATAGTCTAAAGGCAGCAGGCGGGCCACCAGGCTCCTCCAATGCACAGTGGCGAGATTAGTCTCTTCACATCTCTCCCCTTTTCCAAACAGACTAACAGGGTATCTGACCTCCTGCCGGTCAGTGCCCTGGTTAGTCTAGCAACCCACCCATAAAACACAATTAGTAATAAAGCCCACCCACAATAAATGGTTACTACACCTGAGTACAGGGAAAAGTTGTCCATGTCCAGGTGCCTCACCACAGCTGTGTGGGGGACTGGTACGCTGAATTGGTGGGTTGCGAGGTGGGCAGAGACCAGCTGTACTCTGCCCTGATGCCAGCACTACCACGGAAGTAGTCTGGTTGGAGCCTGGTTGCTGGAGGGGGAGACCGACTGTCTCCCCTTTAGATACACAGCTCTGCTGCCGGAGGGGGAGACCGACTGTCTCCCCATTGGCTAAACAGCCCTGTCGCTGGGGGGCAGGACCGACCGTCCCTACCACCTGTGCTGTAAGTGCAGAGACCACAGTCCCATCCGCACGGTTGTGGGGCTTACTGTCTCCCCCTGGTATGTTAAGCTGCCGCTGGGGTGAGGGGGTAACAAGCTCCTCTCTCATACATACTTCCAGCCGCGGGGGAGGGAGACCGACTGTCTCCACTCCCAATACAGAGTCCTGCTGCTGGGAAAAGGAGACTGGGCTCTCTATTCCCTGTCAGACACTCTGCCACTGGAGAATGGAGACTGGGCTCCCAATTCCCTGCAATTCACTCTGCTGCTGGGGGACAGGAGCAACTTACTCTGCTATCTCTATGTTTACATTACTGCCAAGTAACACCTCTAGTGGCAGTCACTCAGAGGGTCATTAGAGTTGCTTCCTAGTCCAGTGCTGCAGTGTGTAGCACCTACATTCATTGTCTCCACCCTCTGCATGGAGACGCTGAACATTCCCCATAGAGATGCATTGATTCAATGCATCTCTATAAGGAGATGCTGATTGACGCAGCAGGCGTTTTTCCACACTTGTGCAATAGACTCCGAATGCTTTCCTTTGGGAAAGCATTGGCTTGGCTAAGATCATCAAGATTGGTGAGCTCAGTCATGGAGGCAGGGCCAGCCATGACAAGACCGGCACAGCCTGGGTAAATAGGTTTCCCATGCGATCAGAGGGGAACCAGTACCTAAACACACACACTGACAGACACACACATACTGACAGATGCACACTTACTGACTTGACACTCACTCACTGACTGATAGCGACACACTCACTGACAGACATACACTCATTGATTTGACACACTGACAGACACACACTTACTCTTGGCTTCGTGATGGAGCTGAGAGGAGCAGGAAGAACCTCACAGCTGAGAGAGCTCCCTCGCCGCCGGCTGCCTCCCTCTCCCCCATGGTACATTATGTATAGGCAGAGTAGGCACCTTCCCTGTGGGGTAAGCAGGTGCAAACTCTGCATTGCTGAATAGGTGCCACTCTGTGGGCAATCTTGGCCACCTCTTGGGCAACCGTCAGAGATTGGCCCGCACGGCGCCCCAACCTCATTGCGCCCTGGCCCGCGCACTTGTCCACTTGTTGTAGCACCTATGGGAGACATGCATTGGCGGCAAAATGCTGCACCTATCCAGGTGCCGCCTAGGGCCATTGCCCCACACTGTCCTATAGCTCTGGTTACGGAGCTGCTGATACTTTCTAGGAACTCAATGAAAACATACAGTAGCTGGCATATTCTGCACAACCAGGTATTCATTGCCATGCTACCTAACTAATAGAGGGATGTGTAGTAAAGTTTTGTTTTCCACATTGCAAAAGTCACTTAGGGACACCAATAATTTCACCAACAGAACCTGATTTTCCTAGTTTAATAGGCGGCTGCTTTGAGAAGCATTAACATTTAATAACACAAGACTATTCATCTAACAATTTGCATGTTAGATGAATAGTCTTGTGTTTATGACATTTTGCATAAGAAGCAATAACCATAATTTTTTTTAAATGTATGATTGAGGTTTTTAAAATATAATTTTATTTCATAACTAAATACAAAGATATAAAGGTGTATTGGCGCTACCAAAATACAAATATAAAATGACTGGTGTAGTGAAAAGTGTATCCCACAACACTGGAAACTAGATAAGGAAGCAATAAAACAAATACTGCACCAATCAAAGTAATGCAAATAACGGGATCAATCTAAAAAACACAAATAAAAAAAACATAGTGCAAACTGTGTATATATTAAATAAACCCCTATATAGCATAAAACTCACATGATGCAGAGCCGTCCCAGGCTCTATATGATATGCAGGAGTGTGCCTAATGAGGCTAAAGCGATACCCTTGAGGAGGGCAGCACAGGATACAAAATGATAAATCAAAACTTTATTAAGAAACAATTAAAATAAGGGACAGTAAGCAGTGCAAATATAATAAATATACTGGGCACAAAGCCTAAGTAAACACCGCAAGGTAAGTAAAATGTCCCAAAATGCAATACATAAAAGTGACGCAGCAAACTCGTTTCAACTCCGGCTGGAGTTTCTTAATAAATTTTTTATTTATCATTTTGTATCCTGTGCTGCTCTCCTCAAGGGTATCGCTTTAGCCTCATTAGGCACCCTCCTGCATATCATATAGAGCCTGGGACGGCTCTGCATCATGTGAGTTTTATCCTATATAGGGGTTTATTTAATATATACACAGTTTGCACTATGTTTTTTTTATTTGTGTTTTTTTTTAGATTGATCCTGTTATTTGCATTACGTTGACTGGTGCAGTATTTGTTTTATTGCTTCATTATTTCATAACTAAAACTAATATTATAATAAAATGAATTGTTCCATATGCAGAGTAAAATCAGCACTCATTAACCTCATTCAGGTTGATGGTTGAATGTTATAGCCCAAAAACAAACTAGAAGATAGTTTTTGGAAGACATTAAGTCCATTAAAAAAAAAAAAAATGTAATCATGCCCTTATTACCATTGAATCAGAGCTACATTCACTGTTTTAATCCCTTTTGGCCAATTATGTTTCTGCACTGTAAACATGTAACTTGACACAAATGAGAAGAGAACAATTTAGTGCTTTACAGCATAGCCGGCTTAGTTTGACCACACTACAAGAGCTTTGATGCAAACAATACAAGACAGTGTTATAACGAGAATGCATGTGTTTTAGTTACAAATCAGTGGTTCTAAATACAAATTCAGCAGTCATCTCATCGGAATACATCATGAGCACTATAAAGCATTTAAAGAAATGTTTTCTCAGTTAAATTGTTCATTTCAACTTTATATTAATTTGGAAATATGAAATGCATTACATTGTGTCAGATTATTTGCATGTTTCTAGTGATATTTTGGGGTTGTGTGAAAGACAAAATGACTCCACAACGACACCAACATTTAGTTTGTATTTCCTATTTTAGTGTTCTAGGTCCAGTGGCAGCTAGTCCCCTGTGCAGTTTCTGTTTACATTTTAAAAATCACTTCTAATCAAGTCAAACATTTGGGGTATTTGTGAAAAAAAATGCCCCTCTGTGGATATAGGCTTTCCAGGCAAAATTAGTTTGTTTTAATTGGAATTCTGGTCTCATCTATTGGCTGTGGACTGTCAGATATTGGAAACTCTACAAGAAAAAACTTTGCACAAGTACTCCTCACTGACTGCTCGGACATACTACAAGCTCTCTGGCACGATGAATCCCCTGAATCTGAGTCATGGGAATTCCCTCGAACATAAATTCAAGGGATTCCCCATGCTAGAGAGCTGGTCTATGTTTAAGGGAATTTCCCTCAAACATATATTCAAGGGATTACTCGTACTAAAAGCTGATCTATGTTCAAAGGAATTTCACCCGAGTCGAGAGATTCTCTGCGATAGTGAGCTGGTCCATGTTCGAGGGAATTACCCAAACATGGACCTGCTCTATGCAAGACTTGGTTGTCGTGCCGGTTTGAAGGATTCTCGCTTACCGACCAATTCGCTTAACGACTTAGTCGTAGGAACGGAACTCAGTTGGTAAGTGAGAAGTATCTGTATATTGTTCTGTCTTCTAAAGCTGTGAGTAGGTAACAGCATCATAGGGTGGAGTTAGACCACTTTAAAGTGCGTGTTGCTTCCCAACTATGTCTATATATAGGCTTATGGTATTGAAGTGTGTATGACCTTTCATCATGGTCAGGAATTAAGTACCTGGGATTAATTACATAGAGCCCAACAAGTCAGAAAGCAGAGTCCATTTTCAAGAATACAGTCTTTGTATGGCTAGGTCTGAGTTTCTTAACCTGTTCAGTAAAAGTACTGTTCTTGAGTTTTGTTCATACAAACACAAACATTTCAAACAAAGAAATGAGGAAGAGAAAGTCATAGCAAAAGAAAAGTACACTAAAACAAAATACAGTACTCCACAGGAAGTATTTGCGTGAGTTGTGTTTTGTGCAGACTGTGTTTTGTGATTGATTTGTGTTATCTATGTGGAAAAATGTGTGTTGTGTATATGGGGTATTGTGTGTCACATGTTCGGGCTGTGTCAGGGAAGTTGTGTGTGGTTTGTGTGTTGATAGTGTACAAGGAAACTTTGTGTGAAGAGAGACTGTGTGTTTCAGCCTCCAGCGTAATTTTGGTACAACCTTTTAAAAAAAATATGCCTACCTTATCTTCAGGGAGGGATGGGTAAAATCCCTGGCACTGTGGTGAGGCTGCTTGCAATATATCCCCTATCATGGTTTTTCATCCAAGGTGGTTCAGTTTTGATCTCCATATTGGCTTTGGGGACTGGAGGATGCACCCTCTTCCTATCCCTAATACATGGTGTGTATAGGGTAGGTGTGCCACAAATTAAAATACAGGGTGCTAAGTAATCACACATACTTTCAGGTGTAAAAAAAGTATTTTTCTTGTACGTGGGTCAACTTAATTATCATTATGCTAAGTGTTTGAATATGTTGATAAAGCATATGCCCTTATTTTGGCAAGCCCTACCAAAAAGAAATCAGATAAGCATTGGGCCTTGCAATCATATAGTGTCATTGTAGCAAAAAAAAATACTTAGATCCATCAAGTTCAATCTTTCCTACATCTGCTTATGCTATTTATCTAAAAGAAAGCAAAACACCGAATTTGAAGCAATTTCTAATTGTAGCACAAAAAGGGAGAAAACTCGTTATTGGAAATCAAAAATCTTTTTGGCAGAAAATTGATTGTTCTTACAGTAAAGAACACGTACTATTGCTGTAGTTGAATTCACCTTTTTACAAGTTTTGATAAATAACATCTCTTTTAGTTGCCAATCAAATTTACCTGCAATCCATCAGTAAAATTAATCCCACGCATGTCAAACAGCTGACAACATGGACAGAGGAGAACAGCTGTACCCACGAGTTGAGATCTGGCACAAGGAAGAAAAGATAATATATTATATAAATAAAAGCAAGTAGCAAGGGAGGGAGTATGATGATTAAAATACAGGATGCATAAGGAATGGAAAACCAAAATCAAAACAAAAAAAAATGGCCGGACCTCATTAAGCTATGAATGGACTACATATCTTAATTCTCTGTAATTATAAATACATGGAAAGCTATTTTTGAGAAACATTATACAATGGGTAAACAAGGATTTATTTTGTAGGAAAGGATTACAAAAGCAATGCTTACAGTTTAGGCACGAGTGAGTATTATATTCAATGTTTTCAAATTATTCTTGTTAAATATAACCTCCCAGATGAATTGTAATAAATTATGCTAAATATTTTGTGTCTTTTTCTAAACCCTTGACATGTATATTTGTAGGTAGAAACAATTGGTGACGCATATTGCGTGGCGGGAGGATTACATAAAGATAGCGAGACGCACGCATTTCAAGTAGCTCTTATGGCTCTAAAGATGATGGAGCTCTCAGACAAGGTGACATCGCCTCATGGAGAACCTATCAAGGTCAGTTTACAGTTGGTCTCCACTTTATTTTGTGGAGTTGAAAAACAATTACTTTTTATAGTCAGGCATTATATTCATTAAAAATCTAATGAGAATCTGAAAGCATGAAAACCTGTATGATGCCCAATGATCAGTATTTTGTTGCAAGCGAATATTGTTTTTACGACATTAGAGACTCTTAAAAGTAAAACATATCATTCTTGCATAGGTTATTGTGCAAGCAGGTCGTTATCCTTGTCCCATGGACATAATCTGTTTAACGTCAGCAGATTCGCAGAAGCAATTAGAAATCCTGGGAAATTGCAAGAAATGCAAAAGCAAAGTTGCAATAAAAAAACAGGGCTTCAACATTAAGTGTCAATTTTATTATCCCATAGAGAATATCTACATACTGCCTATTCGTTAAAGGAACACTCCCAATGCCGTAAGCACTATAAGTGAGCTGTTATGGTGCTTGTAGTGTTTCTTTAAATCGCTTGCTTACATAGCCGTCAATGTAATATGCTTTTCAAATGTTTCAATGATGTTAGCAAAAATTATAAAGTCTATGGGGTTATTTGTAGATAAATCATTTGGGAAATTGTTCTGATAGTATTGGATTATGTGGAAAGTTTATTAAACCAGACTTGTTTGATTTACCACTTTGATCAGAGTGAGTAAGCCAGTAGCAAGTCCAGAGTTGACTAAAGCAACGGAGATTAATGTTTTGTCGTTAAGCCATATCTAGACTGTGCTGTATATAGATTTTGATATCCTGCTTGGTGTTGGGAAATGTTTGCTAAATTCCTGCATCACCCAGTTTAAGGCAAATGAGAAATATAATGTTCCTCTCCCTTCATCAATTCATAGAGACCATCCAGTGAAAATTCCAACCAGACAGCAGTGATCTCCCCGATACATTGCAACCATCCTTGTTTGTTGCTATAGGCAGTGACGTTTTATATGCTATTACATAAACTCTTGTTTTGCTGTAGTAGTTAATCATCTATTATTTATAATGGGAGCAAAGACACATTCTCGGTTTTCAATGGAGTGTATTAACCTGTTTATGACAGCTTGGTAGTAAAAAAGAAACTGCCAGATTCAAGAGGCAATTAGTTTGAAAGAGAAAATACTTGGGTTGATATTTTTGTCAAGGCAAAACAGATGCTATTCTAGGGCAAATGACTAAATAAGGACCAGACTCACCACAGATACGAATACGGTGTTTCTGAACATTTAGAATTTTGCACCTTAATTAGCACTTAATTTGCCTTGATACATTTTCCCCTTTGTTAGATGAGCAATAACACTTCTTGAAATTGACTTGTGTTCTTTCACTAGCCTGGGATCTTTTCCTACACTGTATATACACCTAGAGAATCACTGTACAAAGTAGGGAAACACAATAAACAGGAAGTTTATCCACTTCTTTCTATGAGCTGTCTTTTGATAACCATTTAGTTTTACTTTACTTATATTATGCTTTACTTCAAGAATGGAAAATGCATTTACTGTACTAAAGGTAAGGTGCCAGTCTGAACTAAAGAAGACACTGAAACTAATAGTTTAAATGGACAATCAGAGGAACCATGGCACTTGTGCAGATAATAAGAAAATCGGATTAAGAAGTGTGATAAATGCTATTGCTCTGCCTTTTATTAAAGGAATACTCTGAGCACCACAACCACTATAGCATAATGTAGTGATTATGGTGCCCGGAGAGCCCTTTAGCACCATTGCAAGTAGACAACCCATTTTTGACTACTTGCAATGGACAGGGGGTGCCAGGGCACTTCAGCACACTGTAGTGGTAATGATGTTTGTGTGTTTTACATTGTATTTATGTTTTTCTTTAAAAAAAAAATGTTTTCCTTTTTAAGATGAGAATTGGTCTACACTCGGGATCGGTATTTTCTGGTGTTGTTGGAGTAAGGATGCCACGTTATTGCCTTTTTGGAAACAATGTAACTCTTGCCAATAAGTTTGAGTCGTGCAGCGTCCCAAGACAGATCAACGTGAGCCCTACTACATACAGGTGGGAGTATAGAACTATCCTACTAGGCAAATTAATCTTTTGTATCCAAGCAATTTATTGGAAAATATATCTTATATGAGATGTGTATTGCTTACTGCCATCTGGTTATTTAATCTTTTTCTTAGACATCTTTCTTTTACAAATTAAAAAAAGAAATGAACTTATATTTTAAGAATAATAGATCGCTCACCTTAATGGAAAGCATTTTATTGCTGCTCTACATTGGCATCGGTGACTAAGTAAGCCATCATAGGCTCTTGTGATGACAGAGTCAAAAACCAATGTAACGTGTATAAATCACTGCACTTTAGGAGTGCGGGTACCTTGTGCCCTGGAGTAAATAGTCTCCTGGGGCTGAGCATTTTATAGAGAGAAATAAATTATTCAAAAAAATTAATTTAATATGTGTACGTTTCATTATTTAATCATCTGTATTCATTTTTTCCCAGTATGCTGAAGGACTATAAAGGATTCAGATTTACACCTCGATCGAGGGCAGATCTACCACCAAACTTTCCTGATGACATTCCTGGTATCTGTTATTTTCTTGAGGCTTCTGATCAAGAAATGTTGAATGCGATTTGGTTCCAAAAAAAGACTGCTGAAGATTTATATTTTAACAAAACAAAATGATGCACACATCTGTTTTGTGGTGAAACATTTAAGGAATGCTATTTATTCATTTTGCAATTTGAACATAAATAGGCAAAAAACACACCTGATCTTTATTCCACTGACAATTTTATATTGTGTCACAGTTCATTAACAAAAATGTAATAATGATCTGTTGAGACATTTCTAATGATGTACCTTTTTGCTAGTTTGTGTCATTAGTAACTAACCTATAATGTTTTCATAAATAACTTATTTTGTGAATATTTTCATATATATATATATATATTATATATCTCTATCAACACCACCACCACCAGCCTGTATATTTTAGACCAAGTAGGGTAGCATTCGCTTATTGCAATTTGTGACCCACCTGTTTGTAAGTCAGGGGGAAAAAATAAAAAATCACTAGACCAGGCCATGTTTTCCAAGTTGCAGCTGTTTGCTTTTTCTTAATTGATAAAAATTGAACTCATCATAGTCATTAGCTACTGAGCTAATTCCCTTGAGGAGTGTATGCATTGAGCATTCAGAGATGCCCATCTGCACACCACTATTTTAAAGGATATATGAGTAATTGCCCTTAAATGAGCCAACCTTGTCAATATCAGAGAATGACAGCCTATACCATGGTCAATGGCACTTTGATTCAGAGCAATTTGGCAATGGGACTACCCTCTTGGTCTGACAACCATGCAAGGGACTTCACTTTTCTAATTACCTGACTGGAGGTGTCCCTGACATGCTGCCCACTCTCTAGTAACTAATTTAATGCCTCGCTCCATTTTCGCCATTTTGTGCCAAACCAACCCATCTCCCATCACATTAAGGACAATATAGCAAGTAGGAACCACACTCAATCCACAAAAGCTAAGGGTGCTAAACCAGACCAGGGGCCAGCACAATCCAATAAAATAGAAATCCAATTTTAGGTCAAAACTTTGCAGTGCTCCTTTTGTTCTAATAATTGTTACTGAAGCTATTGGAGTGCCTGGACATTTACTCTACTATCTACAATTACATTAAGGACAGGTATATCTTAAAGGGACAGGGACTGGGAGTCTGTGTGTTTCTGAGATTAGAATTTGTGGTCACATGAGTCACATGACTGTGTAGGCCTGACCCACCCAGTGTTTCCACTGGAGCTGATGATAATGGATTGACAGTGAAGTGCTGAGAGAGAGATGAGTACAGGAAAGTTTAAAAGAAAATGGGCATGGGATTTTAACTAGTCTCAGGGAGGGAGGGAAAGAAACCTGGCAAACGTATGTTACTGATAGAGTGGATAGAAAGCAGCCTGGCAGGGGTATGTTACTTTTGGTGGGAAGGAAGAAGGACTTGGTAAAGATATTCTGCTTTCAAGAAAAAGGAGGTACTGGAGACCTGGCAATTGTATTTCTGTTTTGGAACGAAAAGGGACTTGAAGAAGAGAAGCCAGGCATGTGAATTTTACTACAGGGGGTTAAGAATGGTATGGGGGCAGCTACTGCACTCATAGTCTACATACTGCAGTTTTTAAGGTGGCAGTGCAACAAAACAGAGCAGAAGTTAGCAGAGCAGCGATAGGGAATAGGGCAGACCTTCAATGCCAGCAGCAATGTTGTGGAAAATGCCTTCCTTTACTTATTTGGCAATGTCAATGGTTGAGTAATGGGCCCAAGTCATGAAGACATTTTTATATGAACATTTCTATAATCTTGCACACGTCTGTTATTCTTCTGTGATTATGGTGTTTCTGACCAGAGAATTGATCTCACTGGAGGTTTTTGCTTATCACATACCCCGTACTCTAGAAAGTCTAATGTGTGAAATTCCCACAAGGTTGTCTGTTTTTGAAATGTTGGAACCACCATATCTAGCACCAACAATAATTCCATGATGAAAGCCAATCATGTTTCTCATTCTAATGCTTGACCAAACAAGTTTCCTTGTGACATGACTTGTTTAGTTAAGAGCATTGATTAACAGATGTACCTAGTAGAGTGGCATTACATGTACCCATATATACAGACATTTTCATTTTTTTTTATAAGACTATTATGGAGTAAATTGTTATAGAATAGCATTTTTTAGATTTTAATGTTAGTGTCCCCTTGTCCTTAATCTTTAGATAATTTTCACAATGCACAGAAGGATATAACTCGGTATGTCAATCTATAGATCTATCAAAGCTACACTTCTCTGTCATGAAAACATGGGGAATTAATTGTATGTAAGTAAATAAATGAGATAAGGATCTACTAAAACTATGGTATATTGGTTCAGCATTTTAACCTAGGTGAGGGATTTTTTGCCAGTAATAAGCAACTAAAATATGTGCAGGGATGCCTCTTGAGAGTGGCATCCCAACACACAGAAATTGTGCAGGTCTTTTGCTAACCCAGTATAGTGTGGATTTGTGCATAGGGTGCAGGTAAATGTGTTTAGATATGCACAGATTTCTGTTTATTATCAGTCAAGCCGTGCAAATTATTCGGATGAGTTTGTGGGAGATTTGATGTCAACACTCATCTATATATATTGTTTGCTCCGTGTGGGTAGAACAATCTGCACAGAGATCTGTGCATTCCATGAGCAAAGAGCAGTTATTTGTTTCTACTGCCCTTCAAGCCAAAAGTTGTGAACCCTCTCCTAGTTTAATCACGTATGCCTACATCTGCATATGTTTATATATGTTTATATAGCTCTGAAAGCTTGCTTGTTTAATGTGAAATATACTGATCACTCTATACAATATGAAATTTATATTTTGAGGAAAAAAATAATTAACATGGAAATATTTAATATTGTACAGAAATACTATGTTGAGGAAAATGTCAGAAACTACCAGCTGGTCTGTTGTATAATGGTAATGATGAGCTTAATAGATTAATTTAACATTATCTTGAGAACTTCCAGACTCTTGATATACATATACATGTATCTTGTACAGTGACGTACATTCACTCCTCATTGGCTGCTTACATGTTTGTACTGTTGCAACCTGGAACTAAAACACTTTTATTAAGACTTCAGTCAGCTGATTACACACACACATACTTAACAATTGAAAGGTACAGAATATTTTTCATTCTTACGTTAATTAAGCAAAGCAATATACATTGTTGGTTGTTTATATACCTATCCCTTAAAGAAAAACTGACTTTATTTCTAATGCATTACTGTTTAAAAAAAAGACTACATGTATTATAACTTCAGGGTGTATTGCCTACCTTTTTGCTTTATAGGAGGTAGATAGAGGAAACCTGCACTCAGCGGGCTGCCAATGTGCACAGGATCTGAGAATGGCCAAACCCCACATTAGACAGATGAAAGAAATAGTGGTCCTGAGACTCAAGGTAATAGCCAAAAAAGCAGCTTTATTGGAGCAAAAACAGCATAGTTTCAACCCAGCAGGTGTTTGTCAAGCTTAACAAAGACCCACTGGGTCGAAATGTTGCTGTTTTTGCTCCAATAAAGCTACTTTTTTTGGCTATTACCTTGAGTGCCTGGGCCAATATTTTATTTCATATACCTTTGCTTTATGAGGATGGCCATCTCGAAATTCCAATTAGCCAACCAAAAAGCATGCAGTTAATCAAACGCATATTCACAATCTTGACATTATGAGTTCTCAAAAACACACTCTGGAAGGAGTTCAGACCTTACCATTGTGCATGGTCTTAGCAGATACGTGGTGCTTTTGACCAAGGCAGTATAAAGATGGCCACCCCTTTGGAGCAAATTCACAAAGACTATGTTTTAACCTATATCTATTTATTACAAAATATTACACATCAAGGCAGTACTACATGTGGTCTTTTATTTTCAATAATAATACTAAATCCTGACAGTTTACCTTTAAATCATTACTTGGCAGAAGCACCTTTGGCTGCATTTACAGCTATTCGTATTTAAGTATATGCCAGCTTTGCGCATTTGGAAATTGCAATTCTTTACCAGTCTTCTTAAATGAATTGGATGTGGACAGTTGGTCAGGTCAACAGCAACTTCCAAAACGTTCAGTCTTATCAGACCAGAGCTTTTTCCATATGTTTGCTGTCTCCCTCATATGCCTTTTGTCAAACTGCAAACAGGAGTTGTCATGGTTTTTCTTGAGCAATGGCTTGCTTCTAGTCACACATCACTGAAATGTAGTTTGTGGAGCGTTCTTGGATCTTTTTTCCTATTTCAGCTACAGATCCCTCCATCTTCTGGTCACTGAGTTTTGGAGAATGGTCAAATTAAAATAAAATATATTTTAATTCCAGGTTATAACACTACAAAATGAGAAAAATTTCAAAGGGTGATGAATACTTATGCAAGGAACTGTAAGAAAGATTTTTTTTTTTAGATAATACGTTATAATGTAGCTCACTACGAATGCAAAATTTTACTATCTGAAAGTCTTCCTATTATGTGTGCCAAATTCAACCAATACAGTGAAAGTCAGCCACTGAATATCTATGTTTACTTTGCTATATTACTCTTGTGTCAGACATATGTTATCTTTAATGAACAAGCTAGTATTTAAGTATTAGGTAAGTGGTTGTTATATTGTATAAAGTCATGCTGCAATACAATCTGTAGAAAAGAAATGTAATCAATAACTTCAGAGGTTACTGTGTTAAATATGGATTTGTCAGCTTATTGTCACAGCTTTTTCAGTCTGACAGAATGTGCTATTCACTTTTGATCCCTAGAATGTACTTGTTATGACACAAGCATAAACATCTTCCAGTCTGTGAGCATCAAGCAATATGTGGGCTATAGATTTATTATACTATATTTTGAAATCAATATTCTAAACTGTATGTTAAAGCAATAAATGTTTTTATGCTATATCTGGATTGTTTTTAATCATCATCTCTCTTGCTGAACCATTTATTAACAGAATAAGAAGATTAATTGAGCACCTTGCTGTTAGACCAATAGGTAAAAAAGCAGTTAACAACCATGAGAAATTATTTGGTGTTCAAGGCTCTGTGACTGATTAAAAAGTTAATTAAGCAAAGCAAATAAAACTATATTAAAGGCTGCTTTATTAAAGGCTGCTTTAGAGAGACCATCCAAGAATTCTATTGTGACTGGTGCTGGGCTTTGCAGCTGACGAACACCAGTCTCTATATTAGCGTTTGGAAACCAGGATTCAATCAGAATTATACAAAGTGTAATAATTAAAACGGACAGTAGATAGCGATGATAAACCACTATCTACTGTATTAAACAAAAAAATCAATTTGTAATATCAAAACTGATATTAGCAGTGAGTTACCATAGAGTTGGGTTTAGGGGTTGGCTTATGGGTGTGGTAGGGTTAGGTTTAGGCATAATAGTAGGGTAGGATTAAAGTTAGTGTTCAGGTAGAGTTATGATTAACTGTAGAGTTAGGGTTAGTGTAGGGTTACAGTAAGGTAACATTTAACGCTGGGTATGGGTTAATGCTGTTTTAGGGTTAGGGATAGTCTATGGTTAGGATTAGGGTAGGCATATGGTTAGAGTTAGTGTAGGCATTGGGTAAGGGGTATAGTTGGTATAGCCTAGTATGGGGGTTTGTATAGAGTTAGCATTTGCTGTCAAAAATTTATTTAGATCTTAGACATATTAGGCATTTAACAACCAGGACTGGTATATTTTAAGTTATTTTAATTAGTTGCACTGGATGTGTAATAATTATTATAAGAAAAAATGTGAAAATAAAAACTTTCCTACCCCTCCCCCTCCCCACTTTATTGCCATTTTAACATTTTATTCACATTTAATGTTGTGTTAGGTATACATATAGCATATTAAATGAAAGCCCTTTCTGTCCTTTAAAATTTTTTATATAATATGTATGAAGGCACTTGAAGAGACACCCTAAAATGACTGTGGAACAAACCTATAGTTTATATTCTTTGATTTGATTCATGATGTTATGTTTTCATACAGAATGTGGACAAATGACATTGTTAAGGGGTTAATAAGTCTGTTCCTGTTTAAGCAAACCGCTGACTGAGGATTCTTAACCCCTTAGAGATCAAGCATCATTTTGCTTGTTTAGTTTTTAAAGGGACACTATAGTCTCCAGAACAACTACAGCTGCATATAGACACTGAACTTTCCACATAGAACTTTCCACATAGAGATGCATTAATTCAATGCATCTCTATGAGGAGGTGCTGATTGGCCAGGGCTGTGTTTGACTTATTCTGGCTCTGCAACTGATCTGCCTCCTTGACAGTCTCAGTCAATCAAATGCTTTCCTACTTCTGATTTTGTCAGCCAAGCAGGCAGATCAGGGGCACAGCCAACAGCAGACTGGAATAAAATAAAGAGTTTACTATATTTAAGGATGCAAGGGTGGGGGGGAGGGGGGGAGGACAGGGGTTCTAGAGGGTGTTTTCTACACTATAGGGTCAGGAATACATGTTTGTGTTCCTGACCCTATAGTGTTCCTTTAAGGACCAAAGTAATTATGGCATGGTTGCTATGCATGTGTTCAACTTTTATCTTTCTCATTTATTACAATAGCACATAGCATATACCATTTAAAAAAAGTAATAGCTTGATATTGACGTGACATATACATATATACAATTTCAGTTATATATTATTATAACTTATTACACGTTTTGGCAATAATTATGTGTACATAGTTAGTTCACCTTAAGAAAAGTAGTTCGACATAAATGTATTTATTTGTCCTGATGAAGTATATGTATAAGATTTAAGTTTATCTTTGGAAGTCACAGATCAAAAAAACAATTTTAACATGGAATGATTTTAGAATGTGGTATACTTGTCTTCCAAGTTTACTAGCCATCACAGAATGCAAAATTGCCACACATAAGTATATAGTTTTATTAGTAGACATTACAGAGTATCAGTAAACATCACAGGGTATTTACCTAACCATGTCTTGACACTTTTACATAGCAATTTAACTGCCAAAACATGCCAATATTTTGTTTTATAGTGAGAATGTTGATGGATTTGCTGGGCTTATGTCTCATTGTGGGACATTATAGCAGTTTGATTATTTAAAAAAAACAACACAAAGGCCTACTGTGAAGAAAATAGACTTTTCATTCATGACTTTGTAGGGCCATTCGTTACTTTTATGTTTTGTTAGTTAGATAGACTACCGAACACCGACCAACCCCCTGGCTCATTATCTACAAAGGAAACTGTCAATTGAGCGATCTTTCTGGGTGGCCGCTGTTCGTATAGTCGAACGCCGCGTGGAAGAGAAAACGGCAGCCATCTTGTTTGCACGAAAGGAGGCAGCGGGACTTGGTCGTCAAGTGTCTGGAACTAAAATCGGACACTCGACTTCCCGAACACCGCTAAACACATACGAACGCTTGCTTTATTTTCACGAACAGATAGGAGAGCGCCGTTCGGTAGTTTAGTCCCCACGAACAAGGGGAACAATCGCTCCTATGAGCCAGTAGGCTCCATTCATGTTTTCATTTGTTTATTTGACTTTATCAAAATAGATCGGTCGGTAAAATTAGACTTCCATACAATTCGAAAACCCCTGAACCAATCAGGGTGATTTTTGAATATGTTGGTCACCCAGATCAGGGCTATCAGAGGATATGTGGGGGGCTATTTATGGGGATACCATGTGTTTTAGGGTATGTTCCAAGTTTTTGGGAAAATGTTTTTTCTGCCAGGAGATAATTGGGTTATCCATTAGCTTACCTAATTATCTCACAGGCAGAGAGGAGGGGATTGTATGTTTGCAGTGGGAGTGTTTCACATTGTTAATGTAATGCTATTGGTTGTAACTTTTGTGTCCTGATGCCCCACAAGGTCCAGGTGGGAGGTCTGCTTGCATGGGGACTTGCATAAAAGTGTGGCATCAATAAACCATAATTCCTGTTGTACCTTCATGAAGTCTAGGCTCATGTTTGGATAACTAGAGAAACTTCTTGGAAGCTGCATTCGTCTGGAACTATTCGTATCTACACCCGGACTGCAGCTATAATCACTAAGGCTCAGCAGTTTGAGAGGATTAGGTACCCTAACTACCAGCATTTGTAACACCTACCATTTGTGAAAATAGACATTCCAAAGTATCTCATATAGGGTATATTGTGCCTTAATGCGCCACAATGTTTTCAAAAGGTTATTTTATGTTTTGCGGGAAAAAAAATATTTTTGCATTTTTTACATACACGTTGCAGTATTCATTCTAGGGTAATTAATATGGTGAATAGTGTGTGTATATTGGTGTACATTGTGTCATCTTTTTCACAGTATATGTCAAATTTATTTATTTATTTTTTCCATTGTTGACATGCATGTTGCGTTTATACCAGGTATTTTGTAAATCTGATGTATGCCACTGTAATAAAAATACCCAAATTTTGCTCAGCTGCATCTTTTAAGTAAAAGTATAACTTTGAGTTCTGATGTTGGATCCATGTCCTATTTTGCAGCATTTTATCAGATTGCTCATTCAAACTACCACACAATGACCGGTCATTTCTTAAAATAGACATCCCAGCATGTATTTCAATGTGAAAGTTGCAAGTTTGAGACACACCCATTTCATATTTTTCCATGGTTGATGCTGGGCCTATGTCTCATTTTTTACAAATAACAATTTATGCAACTAATATGTAATTAAGAGCAAAATAAATATATCTTAAAGAGAGCTGTGACGTTGCTATTTAGTGGATGAGTGAGTGTGCTAGATCTTGTGTATTGTATAAATTGGCCCCAGCAGCAACCCATTTTTTAATAACCATAATTACATGAAATTAAGTAAGCAAATGTGTGGTGCTTAAGAAAAATCTACAGGTTAAAAAACATCTGCAACACTCATAGATACACTCCCTGTTATCCACAAAACAAACAAATTAAAAAAAATCCTACTATCATGCGACAATACCTACATAAAGGGTGAGTGGAGCGCTAATAGTAGATGGCACTTAAACCTCTATAAATTCATGGCTATGTTTAAAACAGTTATTTATTTATTACTGAATAACATACAGAATAAGCAAATAAGCAAACAATAGTGTGATACCAACTCAAAATAATGTGTGATGAGTAATACAACTCACATTACATGGAGCCTAACAGACAGGCTCTGATTTTTTTAGGCTGATGAGCACTAAAACCAGCACCCATCCTATCTGGCCAGATCTCCCAGTTAATCTCTCCAAAGGAAATAGACCAGGCAACAACTTTGTGTAATATTTAAGTAAGATCAGTCACACAATTTATATAATCTGTTAATACATTGAAAACCTTTTTAGGATCCTATATGGAACTTCCAGGTACAATCAGCATACTGTTAATCATGGTGACAACTCCATTATTTGTGTGTATCGCAGGTTTACAGAAATCATGATGCCACAAACTAATTTCCAAATAATATTTAAAATTATATTTAAAAACATGGTAAGACAAACTTTATAAATAGTATAACTGCTCAAGACTGAGCCCATTATTGCCTAACATATTACTGGAGCAAGAGAGGTTTTCCCTGGGTGACAAGCCTTGGACAGCACAAAGCGGTTTATTTCCTTAATTGAAGCAGCGTGTTGTTATGTCGAGTTATGTTGATACTCATGTTGGATACTGAAAACATTTAACTAAATAAATTGGCACTTTGGTATTCAATAGGTTTTTAAAATAGCCATAAGTGTTTTATATTTTTCCCCATTAGCAAAAATGTTAAACTCTGTTTTTTTTCACCACTCTATTTCAACTGAACTAGATTAGGCAAAACAAGGCTGCCCTTTCTCCCCCTTGATCTTTATCATGGCTGTGGAACCATTGATATATAAAAAAAAAAGATACTCCCAAAACAGTCAGATTACAGTCCATGATCACTGAGTGAAGTGAAGTAAATTGTAACTCTGAGATTATAGTCCACGATCACTGAGTGAAATAAATTGTAACTCTGAGATTACAGTCCACGATCACTGAGTGAAGTAAATTGAAACTCTCAGATTACAGACAAAGATCACCTAGTGAAGTGAATTGGAACTCTCAGATTACAGTCCACGATCACTGAGTGAAGTAAATTGGAACTCTAAGATACAGTCCACGATCACTCTGTGAAGTAAATTGGAATATGGCCGTGAAGAGATCTCTTTTAAAATGGCAATTTTTTCCCCCTCTATTCATTCGGAACCTTACCCCTGCCTATACAGACCTATTGTCTTAAATGTTATAAAAATTTTGTGAAAAGATGTGTATGGAGAAAACTTCCTCCTCAGGTATTTCACAAAACATGCTGACTACTACATTAGTCTGTTAAAACTAGGATAGCCTTATGCTACCCTCTATCACTTCAGCTGGAAAGCTGTCCCATGCATCCACTACCCTTTCAGTAAAGTAATACTTCCTGAAATTATTTTTAAACCTGTACCCCTCTAATTTAAGACTATGTCCTCTTGTTGTGGTAGTTTTCCTTCTTTTTAATATACTCTCCTCCTCTAGAGTATTGATTTCCTATTTATATTTAAATGTTTCTATTATATCCCCCATCTAGTCTTTCCTCCAAGCTATGCATGTTAAGATCCTTTAACCTTTCCTGGTAAGTTTTATCCTGCAAACCATGTACCAGTTTTGTAGCCCTTCTCTGAACTTTCTCCAAAGTATCAATACCCTTCTCGAAATACGGTCTCCACTATTGGTACGGTACATGCCTTCAGCTCTATTACATTATCTGTCTACCTTTATGTCTGAAATAATTACCACCAAATCCCTTTCCTCAGGTGTTTAGGTTAGAACTGTATTAAATATTCTATACTCTACCCTTGGGTAATAATTACCTTTGCAGGGTTAAGAGACCTGGGACTATGCATCCAGACCACTTAAATGAGATTAAGTGGTCTAAGTACCTATAGTGTCACTTTAAGCATGCACTTCTGTTCTGCAAGGTTTGTGGTTTGGTCATGTGGGGAGCATATTAGGCTCCCTTTCTGATGCTATTTACATGCTCTCCTTCAAATGGTTTCTGTGCTTTAGGAAACCACCTCTTTGCCATAGGAAATGTTGTAGAATTAATATTATTTACCCATTTCAGTTATTCCAATTGGTGTGGATACCGAATCATCTTTGCCACATCATTCACATATTTTAGCTATGACCAAACACTCCATAGCTACATGGCAGAGATAGGCATCACAGATGCTGAGAGTCTACTCTTCTATATACTTGGAAACATTAGTCCCTCTCTAAGTCTTTTCTCCAGATGTATGCATCATGGACTGGACAAAAGCGGGACTTTCTAAGGTTTCTCAGTTCTGATCCTTGAGGTATAATAGACTTTACAATTTTGTGTGACAATATCATATACTAGAGAACTGTTCACATATCTATGAATCAAACATATTCTTAAAGGACCATTACAGTGCCAGGAAAACATACTTGTTTTTCTGGCACTATAGTGCTCTGAGGGTGCCCACACCCTCAGGGTCTCCCTCCCGCCGGGCTGGATAGAGAGGAAAGGGTTAAATCTTACCTTTTTCCAGAGCCGGGCGGGGAGCTCTCCTCCTCCTCCTCTTCAGCTGAATGCACATGCTCGGCAGGAGCTGCGCGCGCATTCAGCCAGTCTCATAGGAAAGCATTCATAATGCTTTCCTATGGACGCTTGCGTCTTCTCACTGTGATTTTCACAGTGAGAAGCACGTAAACGCCTCTAGTGGCTGTCAATGAGACAGCCACTAGAGGCTTTAGAGGCTGGCTTAACCCTATTATAAACATAGCAGTTTCTCTGAAACTGCTATGTTTATTTAAAAAAAAGGGTTAATCCTAGAGGGACCTGGCACCCAGACCACTTCAGTAAGCTGAAGTGGTCTGGGTGCCTAGAGTGGTCCTTTAAGTTGCAATGTATGAACCAGTAGTCCAAGCAATGTCAACGCCTTTGCAAATCTGATTTTTGCTGGAGACAGCCAAAGCCTCTCTCAACATGCCACAGGCAACTGGCCAAATCTACAGCGACAAACAAGCAACCCTTCATGCTGCACTTGGAGAAGGAACTGGACATAAAATTATTTATAGAAACTTGGCACCAAGCCATAGGTCAGTTGCACAATACTTCTGGATCTCTTACTCAGTAAATGCTGTATCATAAAACATTATGATTTAGTTCCACACTAGTTACCTTATCTCATGGTGCAACCAAACTGTTGAAGGTATGATGCTGGGAGAAGTACTGCACTTCACATCTACTAGTCATGTCTAGTCTTGTAACCTTTCTGGTTAGGAATTCAAGCCATGATTCAAAATTCAAAATGCTCTTCCAAAATATTACCTCTCACAGACTCCCTATGGAACATGAATATGTTCCCTTCAGTAACTGGTTCAGTAAAGACTTATATCCTCCATATAATTACAGCAGCAATTACTTATATTGCTCATACATGGAAAACACCCATTCTGAAGAGGATGACCATCCAGTATGAAGAGATGACTCTCTGGAAATCTAGTACGCTTCCAAGATATGTGGAAAAGCTAGCTCTAATCCGAACCGCAAAGACAGTGTGGTCTCTCCTTTAATATTTTCCCTCCCCCTACTCTTCTTTTCTATATTTTTGTCTCCTCAATGCAACAGCCTTTTCTTTTTTTTTTCACTTCTGCATAAAGTCTTCTCTTTTTCATGCTCTTCCAGATACTAAGTTTTCTTAGTCAGATGTGTACTTGTTTCTATTTGTTTAGGGAAACTGCAATTGGGGGCTGAATTAAATATCCCATAAACTTCTGTTAAACAAGCATTTTTAGGTTAAGATCGGATCCATAGACCAGGTGTGGGGGAGGACTGACCACTGGTGAAAATATGCTTCTGCAAATACAACAGGTTAAAAAAAAACTTAAATGTGAGTATTGTTTCTTTTTTTAATTATATTTGGTATGTTTTCATGCATATATAACAATAAGAGTCACTTCCAGCCTCCATGAAGGGCTCAGTAAGGACTGTGTTAAAGAGACAGTGTTATGCATAACCCAATGAGTCTTCGTTAGTTATGTGATATACACTTTTTTTGCTTTTCATCATCTGTTACTACCAGTCTCGGCAAACCAGGAGGTAAAGAAATATAATCTATTGCCAGTATTCAATCCATAACTTTTTTTTAGCATGAGTATTTTTTTTAAAAAAATGTGACAACCTATTTCTCCCGGTAATGCTACCAAAGTTAGAAATTTTTATAGACTTAAACCCAGGCATATCTTCAGTCGACATCACTTATAACACAATCTCAAGATCAACACTCTGAGATCATGAGGTTAACAACAAACAAACTGGATCCATCTTGGAAAGATCTGACCTGCCTGTGTCACCAATTTTATAATGAAGTACTGATGATAATAGGTGATGTCTGTCATTAAATAAATACATAAGACCGTTGTTTAAGAAGTATCGGAACTATGATATTTTAGGCATTGCTAATGGCTCATTGGCAGCTATTAATATGGCAGTAAATATCAAACAATAGATTGCATTTTACATCATGGTTAGCTAAACAGAATAAAATCATTGGCAGTAGTGCAATACTAAACCCATGAGACTAGAAGAATGAGCTAAAGAAAACTTTTTTTCCCAGCAAAAAATATTTTCAACTTCAGGTTCATGATTCTATTTTCCCATGAGAAGCTGATTGGGAAAAACACAATTTCCTATTTTCCTCTAGCATCTGTAAAAGTCTTCCCACAACATAGAAATTTCTGCCTATGTTATGGAATTTTGAATTAAAAAAAGTGTTGAGTGTTCACTACAATATGTGCTCTTCTGCACTTATGTGCTGTCACAAATATATTTATTATATGCATTTGTACATATACTGTGACAAGGAGTGACCAATGTTCTTTTTAAAGAGTGCTGTGCAAGAAGGGAGAAATATTTTCCTCTGAAAATGGAAAGTAAATACAGATCGGGAGAAAGAGAAATAGAATACATAACGGTGAACCTTGGATTATGGGAAATAAAGCCAACTGTAGTTCGTGCTGCTGACAAATGTATGCGGAGCACCGAGATAGGATTATTTTCCTTTAATAAACACTTCACCATTATGTATCTTTTATATGACATTATATTATATTACATTAGGTGCTGTAATATTTAGTTCAATAATGTTGTTACTGTTTAGTGTAGTAAAGTGTAGATAGTGTAAAAAAGGGTTATTTTTGTCTAGTGTGTAAGATTAATTTTAGATTGCTGGGTGTTGCACTCCCAAACGATACTAGCCATCTTTTTTTTTTTCAATTTATATTTTATTGTAGTTTGCATTCACAAATTTTAACTGTTCGCAGTATGAGGAAAATAAGATAAAACATTGGTCACAGATTTATGGATGAGGCAATACATACACTATGTCAATTAAGAGCTACGTATGAAGACATGTTTTACATGAGAGACCTACATTATGAGCTATTTTTCAGCTCCTGAACATTAATATAACCCTTCGCTAGGTGTAAGTATATGGAGATATAGAAAGAAACTGAGGAACATAAAGCAAAACAAAGACAGAGCAAAAATACATAGAAGAGTTCCTAAGCAAAGTTCCTTACAAACTTGTGTGGTCTGTGGGTCATTAAGTGGATGACGAAACCTTCTGTGGCTTCTTTAGTATAGGTTTCCCTGGGATATCCAGGAACTATGGCTACAGGTGCCTGAGATATATTGGGGGTCAGCGCTTTTGCGCTGGTCCTGGCCGTATGGGCCTCATCCTCACTCAGCTCTGCCAGCACCATCTTAGGGAAACTCGCGGGGTAGGCCAGTCAAATAAAAGCCTGATATCACGCAGTTTGGATGCTTCTGGATGCTTCGGAATTTTCTATTTTTTCACCACATAGTGTCGGCTGTGTTGGGGTGTTGAGGTGTGAGGCTTATTGGAGCTTTATCATTTCAGTGTTCTGCTGTTTTCCAGGCTCATTTATATTGCTGTTTTCCAGGCTCTCTAATTAGCTTTCAGCCACGCCCCGCCAGCCATCTTTTTTAATGATGTTATCTGAAATAGACATAACAGAAATGAAAAGAAATGGACAATACATTAACCCCAACATTACTCGAATACACTACGCATTCACATTTACCCTGTGCACTACACAGTAACCGCTAGTCTACGCTAACACTAAACGTTAACTCATATCAGACCTCCCAACTGTACTGATTTCCATATGGCACTCCCTATTTTAGGTTACTGTCCTGCCATACTAACTTTGTTCCAAGGAACTAGAGTGTTATGCTCATGGCTGGATAGCCTTGGGTCATGGCATTCATGTGGTATTACTTTGACACATACCACCTACCTAGAAATTGTTGCAGACTACATATAAATCCCTTCATGGCTATGGTGTTCTCTGATGGCATTGTATCTCTTTCAGCAGGATAATTCACCTTACCACACTGTATAAATAAGCCAGGAATGGTTTGAAGAACATGACATAGAGTTTGAGGTGCTGTCTTGGCATCCAAGTATTCAAGATCTCAATCTGATTGAGTATCCGTAGCATGTGCTGGAACAAAAAATCCAATACATGGAAGCCCTGCCTCCCAACTTGCAGGACTTAATGGATCTGCTGTTTATGTTTTGGTGCCAGATACCACAGAACATGTTTAGAGAGAGAGAGAGAGAGATAGATAGATAGATAGATAGATAGATAGATAGATAGATACCCAGCACTATATGCAGTGCCGTCTTTAAAGGGGGGCAAAAGGGTCAGCTGCCCCGGGCCCAGTTACTCCTGGGGGGCCCAAAGTAGCTGCCCCGTGGGACCCCTGCCAGCATTCAAACCCTGTGGACTGCAGCACTTGATATAATCAGGGGCCCTTAGCCCTTTAAGAGTGCTCTGGCCTGGGCCCCTTTCATGTTGCCTGCTGGGAGGAAGTGAGGTGAGATCACTTCTTCCCCAGTAACAGATTGCCGAGGTGGAGGAGGCATACACAGGAGGAGACAAGGGACTGAGGAAGTCAGACTCCCTTCAGCCTTGGCCATCCAGCTCCCACTGGACCCCAGGGAAGCCACCCTTCTGTACCCAAAAGGTAAGGAGACAAGAGGGTGGCTAAAATATGATGTAAATTTATATATGTGTGTGTACCTGGGTCTGAGTAAGGGTATCTTGCTATGTGTGTGTGTTTCTCGGGTTGTGTGTATGTCAATGTGTGTATCTGGCTGTGTGTATGTCAGTGTGTTTATCTGACTGTGTGTATGTCAGTGTGTTTATCTGACTGTGTGTATGTCAGTGTGTATTTGTGTATCTGGCTATGTATGGGTGTTTCTCTGGTTGTGTGGGTGTTTCTCTTGCTGTGTGTGTGTGTTTATCTGACTGTGTGTTTCTGACTGTGAGTATCTGGCTGTGTGTACGTCAATGTGTGTATCTGGCCGTGTGCATGTCAGTGTGTGTATCTGGCTGTGTGTATGTCAGTGTGTATTTGTGTATCTGGCTATGTGTGGGTGTTTCTCTGTCTGTGTGTTGTGCGTTTCTGACTGTGAGTATTTGACTGTGTGTATGTCAATGTGTGTTTCTGGCTGTGTGCATGCCAATGTGTGTATCTAGCTGTGTGTGTGTGTGTGTATCTGGCTGTGTGTGTGTTTGTGTATCTGGCTATGTGTGTGTGTTTATCTGGCTGTGTGTGTATCTTTCTGACTGTGTGTGTGTGTTTCTGACTGTGTGTATCTGGCTGTGTGTATGTCAGTATGTGTATCTGGCTGTGTGTGTGTGTGTATGTATCTGGCTGTGTGTGTGTGTATCTGGCATTGTGTGTGTTTCTCTTTCTGTGTGTGTGTGTGCGTGTGTGTTTCTGACTGTGTATCTGGCTGTGTGTATGTCATTGTGTGTATGTCAGTATGTGTATTGGGCTGTGTGTGTGTGTGTGTTTCTCTGACTGTGTGTGTGTTTCTGACTGTGTGTATCTGGCTGTGTATATGTAAATGTTTGTATCTGGCTGTGTGTATCTGGCTTTGTGTATGCCAGTGTATGTATCTGGCTGTGTGTGTCTGTGTGTGTGTGTGTGTGTGTATCTGGCTGTGTGTGTGTGTGTGTGTGTGTGTGTTTGTATCTGACTGTGTGTGTATCTGGCTGTATATGTGTGTGAACCTGGCTGTGTGTGTGTGTGTGTGTATACATGACTGTGTGTATATCTGGCTGTGGTGTGTGTATATCTGGCTGTGGTTGTGTCAGTGTGTGTATCTGACTATATCTGTCTGTGTATGTGTACTTGTGTGTCAAAGTGTATGTGTACCTGCGTGTTTTTTTCCGAGAGTGAGTGTGTATATATATATCTGTATATATGTATGTGTATGTGTGTATCTATGTGTATGGCAATGCATTCATCCCAGCATTCCAATGCCAACACTGCACATACGTACACTAACACTGCACACAAATACACCCCTACGTTCCAACAACATTGCACACAAATACACCACTACATGGTTGTCTGTGTTCCTGTGTGTATCTCAGTGTTTGTGTAAGTGTGCATCTGTGTGTATGTGGCAATGCATACATCCAAGCATTCCAATGCCAATACTGCACACAAATACACCCCGGCGTGTAAACCTGTGTGTGTGCATATCTGTGACAGTGTGTATCTCCGTGTGTAGATGTGCCAGTATGTGTATCTGTGTGTGTGCACCAGTGTCTGTATCAAAGTGTGTGTATCTGAGTGTGTGCATGTGCTAGTGTGTGTGTATATACCATTGTGTTTGTGTTAGTGTGTATCTGTGTGTTATTAAGTGTGCATGTGTCCAGGTGTGTGTATGTATTAGTATGTTTATGTGTGTATCTGCTTGTCAATGTGTATGTATATCTGTGTTTGTATGTATGTGCATATATCCAGGCAATCAAACACACCGCTGCAAACACAATCATTATATACAAAAACACCCCTGAATTCAAACTCCAAAATTGTATACAAACACACCCTTCACTCACCAATACTACACACAAATGTACATCTGCATTTAAAAGACAGCACTACATCCAAACACACCTCTGCATGCAATTACAAATTTTACATACAAACACACCTCTTTATTAAAATACTAAAATTATATACAAACACCAACTCAATACACAAAAGCACAACTGCATTTAAAAGCCAACACACACCCCTGCATTCAAATGCAAACACTACACACAAGTACACCGCTGCATTCCAATGGTAACAGTACATACAAATATACCCCTACATGCACACATATACTCTAAACAAAACATGCTTACGTTCAAATTCACAAACACTGCTCACAAATACAACCCTACAAGAATGGCCAAATGGTAGATCACCTGCCGGCATAGCATCGTGGAAGTTGTACGACAGATGGGTATCTATCTTTTTTCCACTCTTGAGCTATAGGGGAGACCCAAAAACATTCTCGCACCAAAGCCCTCTCTACATTAGTACCATCAGAAGGTTGGGGTGGAGGCCGTGATTGCATGCATGCCAGGGAGCTGGGGTTTGGGAAAGTTACAGTGTCAAATATTTGGCTTGAAAATTCTTTTGGTAATGCTGCCTGGGTTGTCAACTAGGTCCCTAATATATAATTAATAACATTATACAGGGAGTGCAGAATTATTAGGCAAATGAGTATTTTGACCACATCATCCTCTTTATGCATGTTGTCTTACTCCAAGCTGTATAGGCTCGAAGGCCTACTACCAATTAAGCATATTAGGTGATGTGCATCTCTGTAATGAGAAGGGGTGTGGTCTAATGACATCAACACCCTATATCAGGTGTGCATAATTATTAGGCAACTTCCTTTCCTTTGGCAAAATGGGTCAAAAGAAGGACTTGACAGGCTCAGAAAAGTCAAAAATAGTGAGATATCTTGCAGAGGGATGCAGCACTCTTAAAATTGCAAAGCTTCTGAAGCGTGATCATCGAACAATCAAGCGTTTCATTCAAAATAGTCAACAGGGTCGCAAGAAGCGTGTGGAAAAACCAAGGCGCAAAATAACTGCCCATGAACTGAGAAAAGTCAAGCGTGCAGCTGCCACGATGCCACTTGCCACCAGTTTGGCCATATTTCAGAGCTGCAACATCACTGGAGTGCCCAAAAGCACAAGGTGTGCAATACTCAGAGACATGGCCAAGGTAAGAAAGGCTGAAAGACGACCACCACTGAACAAGACACACAAGCTGAAACGTCAAGACTGGGCCAAGAAATATCTCAAGACTGATTTTTCTAAGGTTTTATGGACTGATGAAATGAGAGTGAGTCTTGATGGGCCAGATGGATGGGCCCGTGGCTGGATTGGTAAAGGGCAGAGAGCTCCAGTCCGACTCAGACGCCAGCAAGGTGGAGGTGGAGTACTGGTTTGGGCTGGTATCATCAAAGATGAGCTTGTGGGGCCTTTTCGGGTTGAGGATGGAGTCAAGCTCAACTCCCAGTCCTACTGCCAGTTCCTGGAAGACACCTTCTTCAAGCAGTGGTACAGGAAGAAGTCTGCATCCTTCAAGAAAAACATGATTTTCATGCAGGACAATGCTCCATCACACGCGTCCAAGTACTCCACAGCGTGGCTGGCAAGAAAGGGTATAAAATAAGAAAATCTAATGACATGGCCTCCTTGTTCACCTGATCTGAACCCCATTGAGAACCTGTGGTCCATCATCAAATGTGAGATTTACAAGGAGGGAAAACAGTACACCTCTCTGAACAGTGTCTGGGAGGCTGTGGTTGCTGCTGCACGCAATGTTGATGGTGAACAGATCAAAACACTGACAGAATCCATGGATGGCAGGCTTTTGAGTGTCCTTGCAAAGAAAGGTGGCTATATTGGTCACTGATTTGTTTTTGTTTTGTTTTTGAATGTCAGAAATGTATATTTGTGAATGTTGAGATGTTATATTGGTTTCACTGGTAATAATAAATAATTGAAATGGGTATATATTTGTTTTTTGTTAAGTTGCCTAA